ACTGTTACACACATTAGCTACATGTGCAGGAATAAATCTTTACCTCAGGTAGGCTTAAACTGAGCATAATATTAAGATTTAGAAGCTTTAGTTTTGAACGTATCCTTGCTGAAAAACACAGAAACCATCAGCTAAGTGTTTCTTTTGGTTTCTGGTGGTTTTGTAAGTTAATGTGTTTTGGCTTATGGTTTAACAGGTTACCAGTGTTTGATTCAAATATTAGCAACGATATCCCTTCCTGAATGCTACTAATACTGCGCATGCGTTCCACTGGCCTGGGCCCGCTGGAGTGATACTGCGGGTGTAAATCCAGACTCCCCAGCAGCGGGAAGCTACAATATCACTCACCTACTAAATTTGAAAAAGATCTTAATTCAAACAGCTCCTTTTGCAGTGTACACCTCGAAACCTTACTTCATTTATTTTGGCACTGTAATTAGGCCAGATTTTTAGTTGATCATATTGACTCTGATTTTTCTCTGTACCTGGTTTTGTTTGGTTTTAATTATGTTTATAAAGATCAAGTAAAACACTATTATATTATTCATTACAATTTTAGCACAATTTTACATTCATAAATGCAAATTTAATAATGCCAAGTTATTTGTTATTTACGTATTTTTTGTACTTGAGATTAGACTGTATATTAATACCAGACCTGACTCCACAAATAGAAAAAACTGTGGACATTTGCAAATTACAAGGAGTCTTAATGCAATTGTATTGTGAGTTTATAGGCATTTGTGAGTAGTAACGATATTATTATTTTTATTTTTTCGTCACCTAGGTTTAGTAAAATTTCACGAAAAAATTACCCTTGATAATATTTTGGTAATACTTCAGAATCAAAACAGCCAAAAAGACTAAAAAAGTGTGAAAACGAAGTTCTGAGCAAAGTATGTGCACACCCAAATGAACCGCTCCGATTCTCTTCTTCAGTGAGCTGATGTGAGCATCGCAGGCGCAGACATACTTCCAGTTTTCTCTTACCAAAGTTTAAAACGAAGAGATTCGTGCGGTACAGACCTTCCTGGTGTTCGGGCGAGAAGAGTGTGTTCACACGGAGAGCTGGGAGTGACACAGCAGGAGGAGGTTCGTACTGGAAGAGGCGTTCTTCCACGGAAAAAGACACAGTAACGCAACCTGCTTGATTTGTCAACACATCCTAACATGAGGTATTAAAACAGGCAAGTTTCACTTTTGCACTCAACGGACTCTGATTTTTGTGGGTTGATGTTTCACTGGACATTCAGTTTGTTAAATTACTGTAGTTTATAGTTCTCTCACCCTACACTATGGTGTTCTTATTCAAAATAGTAATATACTGATAATATACGACAATAATCCCCTTATATTCACATATATTATAACAACCCCAACTTTCCTCTTGGGGATCAATAAAGTTTGTCTATCCATTTCTCTGTGTATCCATCCATCCATCTATCTGCCTTTTCTGTCTATTTATCTATTTTCTCTCTACCTATCTATTTTCTCTATCCATCCATCCATCTATGCATCTCTAAGGCCAAAAGTAAGTGGACACCTTTACATCACACTCATATGAGCTTTTTGGACATCTCATTCCAAAGCCATGGCCATTAATACGGAATTGGCCCCTCCTTTGGATCTATGACAACCTGCGCTCTTCTGGGAACGCTTTCCACAGCATTTTGGAGTGTGTCTGTGGGAACTGGTACATATTCCCGTCAAAAGAACATCTGTGAGGTCAGGGACTGACGTTGGATGAAAAGGTCTGGCTCGCACCCAACGTTCCAGTTTATTCCAAAGGGTCTTAATGCCAGAACAGGAAAGGTGTTCAATGGGGTTGAGGTCAGGGCTCTTTGCAGGCCGCTGGAGTTCCTCCATCTATCCATTCGTCTACCTTTTTTCTCTGTGTCTGTCTGTCTGTCTCTCTATCTATAAATCCACTTATCTAAATTCCATCTAACTCCTCAAACTATGTTTCTATGGAGCTCGCTTTGTGTACAGTGTCAGTCATGCTGGAACAGGAAAAGGCATTTCCCAAACTGTTGGCACAAAGCCAGAAGCATGTAATTGTCTAAATTATTAGCATAAAGTCTTTGCATGCAGTGGCAACAACATTATTTTTATATATTATTAACAACCAAACCCTGAAAAACAGGGTCCTCCAACTTCACTGTTAGCACTGTGCGTTCAGGTAGGTCATGTTCTCCTGACATCCACCGAACCCAGACTCGTCCATCAGACTGCCAGATGGTGAAGTGTGATTCATCATTCCACAGAACATGTTTCCATTGCTCCAGAGTTCAGTGGTGATGTGCTTTACACCACTCCAGCCAATGGTTGGCACTGTGTATTTTTATCTTAGGATTATGTGCAGCTGCTCAGCCATGGAAACCCTTTACCTCAAGCTCCTGATGCATAGTTCCTTTACTGATGTTGCTTCCAGGAGGAGTTTGGAACTCGAGTGAGTGATATAACAGAGGATAGGCGCTATAAGCTTCAGCAATCAGCAGCCCCGCTGTGTGAGTTTGCGTGGTCTGCAGCTTTGTGGCTGAGCCATTGTTACTCCTAGACACTTACATTCCACAATAATATCACTTTGACAGGGGCAGATCTAGCAGAACAGAAATTTCACAAACTGACTTATGGCAAAGATGGCATCCTATGACGGTGCCATGTTTGAAGTCACTGAGTACGACCCCTTCTACTGCCAAGGTTTGTCTGCAAGGCAGTGTACTTGAAATTTTATCCACTTGTAGGCAATGGTGTGGCTAAAATACCTGAACTCAGTATTCAAGAGGGGTGTCCACATACTTCAGCCAGAAAGTGTATATACCCATTCATTTTCCTATCCACCTCTCCGCCCATCTATCCATCCGACAATCTTTTTTCTATCGATCTGTGCGTCTATCCATGCACCTATCTGCTTTCCTATCCATCTATCCATTTTCTCTCTATCTGTATCTATCTATCCACTTTGCTATCACTCTATCCATCTAACATACAACATATTTCATTTTCACCGGGGCTGTAAAGCACAGCATTTTCTAAATGACATAAAAACAGTGTTGACCTTTTTAAATGTCACACAGATAAAAAACAAAAACAAAGACTTTCAAACGAAAGTGAGTAATAACACGATACCGCATTCAGCGGTAATACAGTCACTTACAGCGTCTCAGTAAATGATTGACTGATGCGTCAATGAAATTCACGTATATTTTATTAACAATGCATCCTTTTCATAAGATTGTTTCTCAAGGCTCTTTGCTAATGCCCAAAACAAACACTGAACTATACAAGGGAGACCACAATTAGGGAAAAGGTAACATTACAAGTATGTACAGCTTTCTGAGAGATGTTTTTTTTTCCTTAAGGAAAAATATAAATAACACTTCTTGCATCCATTTCTGCAATCTTAATATTAAATGGTGCTTAATAAATTTAATACAGTGCTCTGCAAAATCATGAGTGCACTTCAGAGAAAAGAATGGAAGGTGCATCATTTTTGTTTTACATGACACAAATGTACACTAAATAAAAAAAAAAAACAAAACATTTTGACCATCTCCTCCACCAGCAGCAATGGAGGAAAAACCTTTGCAACATATTCAGAATTCGGCCCCAGAAATTAAAGGCTAAATATTGGCTATAATTTAGTATCTTGTACTCTCTGGCACTTTAACCATCAGCGCAAAAACACCCTCAAAAAGTCTCATGCAGTAAGTACCAGCATCACAGTCAAGGTAGAAGAATGTAACACTGTTTTTTTGTCAACACTGATAAAGGGGAAATAACATTTTAAGCGAATCAGTTTTCAGACATTCCTCATTTTAAACTGACTTAAAATGCTGCTTTCACAAGCACATCCTCCGGCTACAATGCTCTGTGAGGGGGCCACTTTCCAGAGCATTAACAATCCATACATAGTTCCTAGTTTGAGTGAGAGGGAAAAAAAGAAGAGAGGATCCTCCATATCTACATGCTCTTTGTCTGTTCGGCTGGGAAAGATCCTCCGTTTGTCCAAATCAGCTCATCCATCTCATGAGGCAGCCAATAGGAATAAAACCAATTATTAAAAAAAACAAAAACAAACAACAAAAGAACACATATGCAAAACCACACAAGGAGGAACTGTTATTATTGCCGGCCATTTAACTTACATAACTTACATTACAATGCACACACTTCAAAAATGATAAAAACCTGATGTTTCAGGGAAAATCCAAGGCAGACAAAAGAGGCTGATTTATTAGAATCTATAATAAATAAAAAAGAAGCTTTGACAAGTTCATTAAGTCTAACCGGATTAAAGCTAATCCAAAAAATAAGGCAAAATAATTAAAGCTGCCTAAATAGCATGACTGGTCCAGCCAAAAAGAAGCAAACAAAGTCATCGTTCTATTTCAATAAAACCAATTACAATACCAAAATAGTTTATTTGGAATCAACAGGCACATTGCATAAAATTATTCAGATACGCACCATGCACTCATTGAGAGAACAAGGTGGAACCGTGTTAGCAATCAGCCTTTATCTGATGAACAACTAATGAACCGCTCAAAGACTAGAATGAGGAACTGAGCGGACGAAAGGCATTGTTGTGGCTTCATCACAACCAAGAAGGCTGCATGCAGCACTCTACTGTATTCTAAATCGAAGAGAATAAAGCATGGTTCTGTCTTTGTTATGTAATGGCCAGGCTATAATTTGTCCACATCTGTAAAAAATAAATCCTGTAGAATAAAAATCTGCCTTAGTGCCAAATTAGACCACTGCAAGCTAGAAAGGGGAAAGGCTAAAATGAGTCTCTGCTGCTTTGATTAAAAGTATTCATATTTCTAAGAGGGAATCAGGCTGACACATCAATCATATCATACTATGCAGTACTAGATTACTGTTTTAAAAACAGGTGCTTGTCAGCAGTGTCTGGTGGTCTGATGAAATAGTAACTGCCAGAATAATATACTAAAGCTCCAAACTTATAGTCAATAATTTTATACTTAAGGTTTTGCTTGCTACGTGACATTTGAGGAGCGCTGTAAGATAATCAAACTGTTGTGGTTTTAAAGTTTTTGGGAAAATTATTATGATATGAAGAAAAAGGCACAAATGCTTATTTTCCCCTCACTACTCCACATTCTACACTAATAATTTCCTGTCAGTTTAATGTTATGGTTACAAATATGCTACAACGAGAAGAAGCAAGTCGATTTGATGAAGATGACAATTGTATCGCGAATGGTGGAATTTGCACCTTGGCAAGACTCACTTAAAGCAGCTTGATGAAGTTTTTGTCCAGCAGCTCTGAGCCAATAAATATTATGCATTTTTCAAAAGCTCTGCTGAAGGTGGAACAAAAAGCCATTTTCTGGTCAGGAACTTTTTGAAGGTTTACTGTTGATGATATCTGACAAATACTAGGAACCCTCTTCGCTCAATAGTGCTTTTAGCCTGCTACAGATTCTGATCATGATAAGACACTATAAAAGAAAATGGAATGATATTCACCCATTTAAAGCTCCTTTACATTTAAAAGAATACCATTTTCAAACCAAATCATTCTGGTGGTTTGCTGTCCAGATGTAGAAGTAACGGTTAACCGGAAAATCAAACGTAACCGCAAAACACAAACTTTACGTCTTACGGAAAACATAGTTGATTAACTAAGACTTACTTGGTGTCTCATATTTGATTGTTTCTTTAGTTTTGCACTGGAGCTACAAAGCTATAACAGAAATCTGCATTGCCTAAATGATTTCCATTACCTGTTAAATACATTAGCCTTGTAGCTCCAGTTCTAAAGAAGCCAAACTCAGGGACCAAACATGGCGATCCACTGCATTTGAACTGAAGGGGGATGTGAAACTAGATGTTTTGGTGAACCGTTCTTTTAAAAGCCTCTCCTCCTGTCTATTTTCTTACTTTAAGAAGTCTCATTCTACAACATTTTTCTGCAACAGGACAGTTCCAACTTTTCAATGTAAGTGTCAACATTCTAATATTCATAAATCTACTATGTACATTTTTATGAATATTCAGGACTAGACAGTTCAGTTGGTGAAGTAAGTTAGACTCTCAGTGTTGATGCTAGCCTGTTGTAGGGAAGTGGTGAGGACGCAGACCATTTTTTGCAGAAGTGGCAAACAAAGTCTTACAAAATGTATTTTTATCAACATAGCCACAACTGAACATGAGAAGCATGAAAATATATGTATTTTCATTTTTTTGGCCCTAAAGTCTCAGTCAGGATGATCAACTCTCATACTGTATGATGTTTCTCATACTTCTTATAGGAGAAGCAAGGTACAGTTCACTGTATGTAGTCTGAGCAGATTAAAGGAACCATTTGACATGTAATTAGCCCTAAAACCATCCTGACCATGGCTTTGATGAACATGTTTATGCTGACATGTGTATATGTTTCCTAACTTGCTCCTCTGTATTTATTCATCTTGTTCAAATGTATTAGACAAAAACCTCATCATGCCAAGGGCATGTTTTAGAACATTAATCCATGAAAAGCAATGCTGTCAGCCAGTCAGTTGGATTACTAATTGATGATTGTCTTACATTTGGGTGTGGGATTAGAACTGATGCTTGGTTTTGATGAATGCTTCAATTACAGGCTCACTGCTTATTTCTTTATACACATGAACGAAATTAGTGACAGAGAGATCTGATACAAACCACTGGAATCTTGTAGTGTTAAAATCAAAGCTGAAGTATCCACTGAGGGAAGAGTTAGAAAACATGCTTGAGTTGTTTCAGTCTATGACCGAATGCATTGGCCCCTAGTTAAGGACAATCACAACTGTGCAGAACTGATATAGGAACTAAACCAGCATCTTGTATTCTTTCAGCATTTCTTCTTTCAAGATGCGATATCGTTTTTCTTTCTTTATAGTTCAGCTTCTAAATTTTATTACACAGTATCGTCAGTGCTTTTACGTTCATAACGGTGGGTCAAACGCTATATTTTGGTTACATCTCCCATTGACAGGGCTTTAAAGAGATTCCGGTCTTGATTTCAGGCTTTTTGTTCAGGCAGAAAGTTTGTTGATCCTGTTTCCTTTACATGCCGTACCGATTCTTTTTGTTCATACACATTCAGCAACAGCTTTCCATATTTTGTCTTTGCTGTTCACCCCGTGGCTGTTCTATATCCTCGTGTTACCTCTTATTGCCTCCATCTTCCTAAATTCAGGGCCAGGCCAGTGGAATGAATAGGGGGATTGGGTGTAGAAGAGGAGGAGAACAGCAAGCTGAAGCTGTAGAACTTGAGAAAATCAAGATTCTGGTGCAGGATATACAGTGGTAGACTTTGGCGGCATTGACAGGATGCTTTCAGCCTCCTCATAAAGCTGTGAAAAAAATGAAAGTATCATAATGAAAAACAGTAACCAAAATCAAAAACAGGTCAGGTCAAATTTATTGGGTTTTGATCTAAGGTCAAAATTCAAGGTCAAAAGAAGCATTACCGGACTAAACTGAACGTCTTGGAACAATTCCTGGATAAAGCGTCGAGAAGCTAGTCTGAACATGCAGTGGGCCAGCAGGTGAGAAACTTCAGAGTACAGGCAGATGTCATCAAATGCATAAGGGAACTTTTCCTTGATCCTGCAGAGTCAGTGGATTTGAAAAAGAGGATTAAAACTGATCTTTGGCAGTCAGTAGCATAAATGCTGCTTAGTATCTCCTTACGTGAGCAGTCCAGTCTCATGCCCCTTGGTTCCTACTGATGAGCTAAGGTTGATGACCAGACGGAGCACCTCTTTTCGCAGCAGGACTCTGCAAGCTGGAGCATCTTCTGGAATGGTCTTAACGCCTGAAAGAAAGCCAAGTCTAAGTTCACATCACATTCTCAAGTTTAGTATTTCCTATGTTCCACAGTAACATACTGCTTGCCATTGCACAAAAGTTGGTAACAGTACAACAGCACAACAGTGTCAGATGATATTTAGAGAGTCCATTTCTCACTTTTTGTTTTAAATAAGACGCCAATGAAGTGTGTAAATACTAGGGGTGGGAATCTCTAGGCACCTCACGATTCGATTCGATTACGATTCAGAGGGCTGCGATGCGATTATAAAACAATTATCGATGCATCTCGATGCATCTTATTTTTCTATACAGCATTTCTATTTTCTTACTGTCTGAGGACTTGGTACTGTTAAAGCAAAGTATTTGTAATGATCCATAATGAATTTACTTCCAATATCTTTTATTAATAAGTCAAATGGAAGTGATGTGGCAAGTGAACTAGAAGGCTCTCATTCACTGCTCTTGATTGGAGCACATGAGACGCTGCTGCCACTTATCTGCGATAAAATGCACTGTTAGGGTGAAATAAGATCCAGGGGTAATAGATGTCCACGCAGCACGTTACAGCCGTCCTACCCGTTTTCTTTAGTGATTTTCTAACTTCGGTTTTGGTCTCGTTGTAGAGGCGGGAGGCGGGGGGGTCGCTGTGTCAGTAAAATATCTTTGAGACGGGACGCGTGCAACATAGCGTGAAAGCCCTGTTTCGCAACGACTCTGCAGACTGCAGGTCGCATAGCAACGATGCGTTATTCGCATTTATAAGCAGCGCAGTTGGTTTCCTTGCAAGTTAAATCTGCAACGAGAGACTGTCAAACACTAAAAAGTTGCGAAGATTTAGTCAGTTTCTCTTTTGAATTGTTCCCGTTCCACCTTAAATGGTGCCACATTTACATTCGGTGCCTCAGTCAGAATTTAAGGTGGAATGGAGAAATTCGAACAAGAAGCTGGAGAATGAGAAGCGACTTCAGCCTCATAAAACAGTCGAACGCTGAGACATTTTACAATAAGCTGCTCTACCTTTGAAGAAAAGTTTCCAGGGGGAGATGGGAGGACAGCGGCTATAGCTAAAGCTTAAAGCAGAGCAAAGTAGCTAAATCTGTGCTCCCATTTATATCGTTTAGCCTATACTAGCACATACTGACACATACTGGACATTAAATGTTGTGGCTCCCAAGGTGGTTTGATTTTTGTTGAAAGGACAAAATGGCTCTTCGTAACATTTGGGTTGTGACTCCTGACCTAACCTGGCTTTTAATGCAGAGGGTGCCAGTCGGATTTCTCACTCATCCAGTAGTGTTTTTGTTATGTGCCGCCACAGACTGTCCGGGCGCTGCACTTCCAAGTTCTGCCTTTTGCGTTCCGTCAACGTAACGTTATAAAATAAATATTTAGAAAATCGATTTTTGACATTTGTGATTCGATTCAGAATCATTCACATCCGCATCGCGATGCATCTAAGAACCGATTTTTTCCCGCACCCCTAGTAAATACTGATAAAGTTTCAAAACGTACCATTTCCCTTCCAGTCCACACATTCAAACTAGACTGCAAAAATAGTCCATTTTGAAGTTTCTGTTATGAAAACCCAACAAATTTACATATATCCTCCTATTCAGCCCACAGCAGTTTAACCCCACCAATTCATGTTCAATTTTTGATATTGTTTTAGCCAGGATTGCTTTGTGAATGAGGCACAACACAAGGGAGCCAATCAGAACAGAGGTCATTTACATATATCAGCTATTCTACGGGATGAAGATGTTGGAAATGGTCACGTTAAAAGATTAGATTTTTGAAGTTTTGATTCATAAACCCACACAAACAATATAAGTCTAAGATAAAGGCCCTTCATGTATGCATAAATAAAGCATTAAAGAAAATTAATGAGCTCATGCTTCCTGAGTACTAGCACTATGCTAATATAATGTGTTACAATCCTGATATATCTTGTTTTGAACAGTTTTGTTTTGCTTCTATCAATATTACACCGAATGGATTACAGAGCACAGTAAGTGTCAACCAAACGGAAACTGTATTTATAATTAATACATATACATAAAATCTAAGTAAAAGAAAAAATTTACTTTTTATGCAAGTCAGAACATTTGCATTTGTCACAGTCCCTGTAACATCCAACATCGTATCACTACTTTTTGTGCAATCTGAACAAAGGAATTAACATTTCCCTTTATCAGTAAAAAAAATGAAAGTTCGTTTTTATGTCCTTGTACAACTTGGGCACAGCAGTGCCAGTGATGAGTTGTCAGGAAGGTATGTTGTAACAAGGCTCCATTGTATTTACCTTATTACAGAAGCCCTATTCTGACACATTGTGCTGCCTTCTCAAAATGTCCCACCGTAGGGTATATTTATAGGTAGCTCTGTACATAAAACCATAGGTAGGACATTTTGATAGCCTAAATCACACAAAGCTCAAGTTAGCTTCCTATTCGCCAGCTTCTTGTTCAAATTTCCCTGTTCCACCTTAAATTGTGCAGCAGTTATTATTATAATGCTAGCTACTATTATACTGCCATTATAATAATTGGAATGTAACTACTGCACCATTTAAGGTAGAAAGAGAAAATTCCAACAAGAATAAACAATATCAGTCTTATCCAAATCTCTATATCAGAAAATGTTACCAGTGTTAAAAGAATAAGTAGGATATTTTATCAGCCTAAATCCCCTTACTACTTAGTAAGTAGTAATATTAAGCTGGACAATACAATAAACTGTACAATAGGGGCTTAACATAAGGCTGAATTAACATTAAAAACACAAGTTACTACACTATAGTAATGACACTGGCATGCACACTCAATGGGTAGGAGAAACTGTTACAATATTGGTCTAACTCTTTCAAATTCAGCCATCGGTGGTAGCGTTACTAGTCACCTAGGTCTGCTAATGCTAACATTAGCGGTGTGCCCTTACACTACTCGTTTGCATCGGAGTGGAACTGTCTAATGGCTGAAGACAGATTACAATACTATCATCTAGCGGTCGGGAGTTTAAACACAACACAAAATGAAACACGAAAATGCCACGAATCTGCAACTATTAATTAAAAAAATCAATACTGTGTTTTTGAGAATCTATACAGTATCACCCAACATAACATCTTTAGCACCTGTCTTTGATAAGTCTGTTCATACCTAAAACCAGCTCTGTGCTCCGGGTGCTCCCAGCAGAGCCCTGGGACACAGCGTCACTGCATCCAGACACCCCTGAGAACTTGGACTGGGGCATTACCTCAAGGTGGTTGTGCATGGGCTGGCTGCACCACTCAGAGTACGGAGCATCGGCATAGTCTGGAAATGAGAGGAAGAGAAAAAGAAAGATGAATTTAGAGTATAAGAACTGAAACCCATGTAGGCAGCAATCTCCAATCTGTTAACAAGAAATAGTATCAAAGCCTATCACCACTAAAGTGGTTGTGTAAAACTGAAAGTGGAGCTGGAAAATCAAGACAATCAAGCAGATCAGGTGGCTCACCTGGCCGGTTCTGTGTTGGGGTGTGTGTGTTGCAGCCCAGCACCTTGCAGCCCACACAGTAGAGGCAGTTCTCCTCAGTGTGCTCCTGCAAGCCAGTCTCCTCTGAGCCCAGCAGCTGCTGCTGGTCCGCTCTGCTTGCTGCCATCAGCTCTGTGATACTCAGCTGAGACTTCAGGACACCATGCCGTGAGCCCTCACTAGGACCTGTCAGAAAAGTGAGCAACACTCAGATGGATATTTACATCATATTTATGTAGATCTACATGATCAGATATGTGCATTAAATGTGTTTTCACCATCAGAGTCTCCAGAGAAGAACTTTGCCGATCTGTCCTCTGAGGGTGGACTGGTCCTCTTCTGGAAATATGGAGTCTCTTTTATCTGTTTTTTTTTTTTAACAATACAGAAACAAAACATCAGCACTGCACATTCCAGTTTAGTATCTACCATGTTGTTTTATTTTTGTTTTTTTAACTGAAACTTAAAGTAAACAATACAAAGGACAGGACAGCAAAAAATGAAAAATGCCAGTACTTGGAACATATTATTGAGGTCCATAGGGAGAGCGAGACCAATGTAATCATCCGAACTCCCGAAGGTGGCACTGGACACCATGGAGCGTACAGAGGAAGAGCGCTGCAGCGTGGTCTGACTGATAGGACTTAGCAGATCCTCCTTATCCAAAGATGCAAAGCTCAGAGCCTTCAGAAACCTGTGCACAGAGTCAGAGAATGGGACACATCAGAGGAAGGAGTAGAGGAGGGAGATGAGGGGAGAATGGGGAAGAGAAAGAGAAAGAGAGAGAGAGAGAGAGAAAGAAAGAGAGAAAGAGAGAAAGAGACACAAGGACAAAGAAGCATGATAAAGAGAAATAACTGAAGATAAAAGACTATGCAATTCATCTGAACAAGAATTAAAAGCAATTTAGGTAATTTCATTTATAGTAAAAAAAAAAAATAATAAAAAAAAATAATAATAATAATAATAATATCATTTTGACTACACAATCACCTGACTTGTGGGTACAGGCTAGCTGATTAGGAATAGCTAATACGGACTACCCTACACAAGTGACTACCAGCTGCTAAACATTCACCAAGTTATGCAATTAAACGTGTTACATGCCTCTGTTTCAGACACAGAAAAGTTAATGGGAATAACAGGGTTAACTTCCATAATCTGCTGGACTGACCATTCCTACTGTGCATATTCAGCAGGGGATCTAAGGTAGAGAGGACAAAGGTTCGATTCAGTCATTTCTCTATACTAGCTGAATAAGATCACTGGGAGGGAAGGGCCGTTTTGCTCACTACTGAAAGGGGATTTCTGGGATTGAGGGTGAGTTATGGCTGCTCAGTATCAAGAGGTCTGGTGGAAAAAGGGACACTGGTGGCAAATTGGGGGCAAAGCACATCTGATTAAGAGGGATTTGTATAGATGCAAGGGTAAAATTTGTAAAGAAGGACAGAACTGGTCTTTCCAAACAAAAGAGATGTGCCAGCCCCTGGGGTGGTTCACGCACCGTGGCAGGAGAATTCGGCGACGGGGCCCGCCTGAGCCTTGGCCCAGACAGCTGAAGCGTTTTTTTGAATACCTAAGAGGGACCATCAGAAACAGTTCACATTATTCCCAAAAAGGAGCCCAGATTTTGCTTTAGGAGCTTACTTGAGGGACATTCCATCAGGATTACATTTTTATTAGTTTTTGCTTTTGATTTAGTTTTTCATGTTTGTTTTTGTTTTTAGTTTAGTTTCAGTTAGTTTTAAAAGGTGCATTAACAATTTTATTTTAGTTTTTTTTTTTTCTAAAAAGTGGAGCAGATTTGGATATTTTATTCATAAACTGAATAGAATCCTCAATGCAAAGTTGACCTTTTTGGCCTTAGGGGAAGGAAAAACCCTCCCCGCTAACCAGTGCCAGATTAAGTAAGCACGCTCAATTCTCGAAACACTGAGGTCTGTTTAACAGATCACGTCCTCACAGCATCATTGTTCGAGAAAAAATATCTGGCACTCAAGAACAAAGATAAAAGAAAGATTAATGACAGAATAATCCCCTTGAGGTTCCAACCTTTATGGTACATTCAAGGCTCCTTTCAAGCATTCAAGGAAGGCACATAGACACTTTAGTAGTCAGAAAGTCCTGCATACTGTTAAGACGTCAGACCAGCTCCTCGAATTAAAGAAATTTCTTTTCCTAACTTCAATATTAACTCTTACTGTAAACCAGTGATTTCTTCCTCAGGATATGGGAAAACTCAAGAAATATATCTCTGTGATATTGGATAACTAAGATATATTGGATCCTGGACACACTCTGATGGCGTTAAGAGGAAATAGTGACAAAGTACGTAAAAACACATCTGCTTAGCCTGCAAGTCGTTTCAACACATGGAACTAAGACATTTCACAACTCATCTTGAACTTCCGTTGACTTTCAAGGAAAGTTACTTTAACATCGCCAGCTTACTTGGCTAAACTGCCTGGGAATTGTTGGCTTGTTTCAATACTTACATACAATTAACATATTGATGTTTTTGTATGTACATGTAGTTTTAAATGCTGTGAATGAGGAGGTCACAGTACAAGCTGAATTGTACAGATCAATGAGGAAGAACGACAAACCTCATAAGATACAGGTTTGACAGTTATGGCTAGGAATGAAGAGAGAACTGCGGTTGTGTTACTGTACTGAGTTGGCTAATCAAAGATGTCAGCCTCTAGCACTGACCAGCAAATGAGTTTAAAAATCTGCGTTTGCAGTGCTTTGTTAGCACAGACTGCTTTTGCAGTATCAGTAAGTGGCTTCTCATTCAATTATTCTGTTCCACCTTAAATGATTCTGCAGTTATGTTGTGGTGCCTGTACGCCATTTGGATGACTACTGCATTGTTTAAGGTGAAAAGCTAATTTGAATGAGAAGCTGACTCCATTCTCCTCATCCTAGCTGTTAACATGTGATCCATGTAGATGCTCTTGAATAAACAGATTCTCGAATCCTGAGCTTTTGAAAGTTATTCCAGAAGAAACGGCAGGGTACAGCACCACCTCTGAGCATGAGGGCTGCATACATGAACACTGGCATTTACTCTAAAATTTTAACCCTCTACCCTCTTACTGAAATAGCAAGTGCCGTTTTTCCTAAAAGCTCCATGTCAGAACTGTTTGAAAATTGAATAACCTCTAGTTAAATGTCCATATGCCTCCCAAGTGCTATTTATATTCTTTTTGTTCTTTTCCTTTTTCATTTCTCTTTTATTTTGTGATTCTTAAAGCTGTACTACATTATCAGTAAACAGCACCAAAACCTCAGTACTTACAACATAATAGTGGCACTGTCATATATCCGCTACAAATATTAATGTAGTGTATAACGCATACTTAGCATTCTTTTTACTCTATGCTTTGCAACCATGCTCTGAAATCACAGTGTATGCAAAGTCATTATGTGGTGAATTGAGCAGATAGTCTGAAAAAGAAACTGAATATCCGTTGGGAAAATGGGCGTGAAAACCTTTTCCGCCGCCTCAATTCCACCCAGAGAAAAGGTCAATTTTATGTACTAGCACACAGACCAAGAAAATCAGACCAAGTTAAGAGCTCATACTTTGCATTTTAATCTGCAGACCTTAGTTTGTCTTTGTCATTGTTGTTTTGTTCAACTGTCTTTTCTTTTTGTCTAAACTTTCATCATTTTGCTCACACAGTAACCTGAAAGAGTCGTGTTGTGAATTATTCAGCCTAATGTTACTTCTTGCACTTTGAACAGCCTAACTGAGCTGTGTCTGTTTTCAAGTTTTGATTTTATTTGTAAGTTTTGTTTGGCCAACCATAGTTCATTGTGAAATTCTGTGCGAGCATAGCTTAAGAATTATGGACAGAAATAAGCCTGCACCGACCTGCAAAACCATCACAGAAGTTTGCTTCAGCAGCCTGTTGTTAAGCTGCAGCCTGCCATGACCAGCCATTGCAAAAGAACTGCCATCCTCATAAAAAATCAGCACACAGAGACCCAGCGGCTCTCTTCAAAGCTTCAAAGGCACTAACGCACCCTCACTCCTGTTACATTATTCAGCCTCAGTGCTGTGTTATTCTGCACCCTTTTAAATTCAAACCTAGATCAGTCATTACACTAGCATCTCCACTCCACATACTGTTGATTCTCCACAATTCCCCATTAAATACCTACCTCTGATTCTCAGCTAACTATAGTATTTTCAACAGGAGAATGTCATGTCTCTAGTTTCTCTATGCATTCCTATTAATCAAACCTATCATTTAATGCTTTATTTACATTGTTATTCATATCCAGTCAATAATTAGCCTTTATTAAACTTATCTTTTATTTGGGTATGTAATTATCATATCCGGTTAAACGGTCTTTGACCACAGAAAGATCCTGGCTTTATGTTTATAAAAATCTGCTACCAAAGTAATAGCTTTAGTTTAGTTTTTATTGTTACAGTTTTAGTTTTTTGTATTATGATGATTGCTGTGATAGTAGGTACTTGACATGGTAGAATAAAATTCTAGTAGACTGAGCTCAGCTTGACTCCAGCTTTCCTTAAAAATAGCAGAGCACATAAGGGACCCACGTCTAAATTCTTATTCACACACTGAAAAAAGTGTGGTCCATGAGGCAATCGACTTAGTCATGCAACTTAAGAGTTCTTTCCTGAGTTATCTGAAACTGAAGGTATTTTCATAACAGTGGAGGAAAAATGTTATAATATGCAAAAGATTGTACAGCTCAAGTGTTCATATAGTCTCGCAGTACAAAAGAATCACCAGTAAACAGGAGAAAAAGGAGAAAAAAGTGAAGCCCTGCACAAAAGAAAAACAAGCTCTTATTTGAGTGTGCCAACATTCATACCTTCGTGAAGTGAGCCTGGAGTCCAGACTGCCAGTTTTCATGGTGATAGCGTCAGTAAAGAGTACGTCTTTGGCGGGTGAGGCCAGCGCCTCGCTGTGGGATAGAGAGGGGTGGATGCGCTGCTGCTGGAGTCGCTTGAGTGTAGCATACCCCAGCGCATCCCTAGGACTGGTGTACATAAAGCTGCAGTCTGTTAGGCTTGTGATGGTGGTCACTGAGGGGGACTTCAGTGACTGAGCCCTGCGGGGCAGTGTGTGAGAGGAGCCCGGGGGAACCAGCAGAACCGAGTTGGACTTTGACAAGGGCAGGTGGTTAGACTGGGGAGTGAGAGAGTGGAGCGTTTTGATAGTCTGGGCACTGATGACCGTGTTGAGGCTGACGCAGTCCGTGTCAATGGTGGAGGAATCCACGGCACCCACCGTCTCTCGAGAAGGGCTGGAGCTCATGGAGCTGATGCCACTGGTTGTGGTGTCTGTGTTAAAGCTCTGGCTGCGGCTTTTAAACTGACCTCCGCCTCCAGAGGAAGAGCTGTCACCTGCCAGCCTCTCTCGGCTGGTCTGTTCGCGCTGGCCATCCCCGCTCGCAGAGCTCCGCTCTGAGGCCCGAGGCACACGCACTTCCCCCTCTGCAATGCTGGGCGTGCTACCCTGGTGGTCTGCCGATTTGCTGCCCACAAAGGATGTCTCTAGGCTAACTGAGGGACTTTTGGGCAGGCCATCGGTAAAGACAGGGCTGAAAACGTCCCCTTGGCCAGGGGAGTAGACGGAGGGCTCGGTGACTGTGCGGTTCCTCCGAAGGCCTCCCAGCTTGGGGTCGCTGTTGAGCTTGCTGCTGCTGCCAGTGTTACCGCTGCCTTTGGGGTCACTGGTGCTGCGCAGCTTCTTGCCGGAGAGGGAGATGAGAAAGCGGTTGCGGACGAAGCGACTGGAGGCCAGGATGGTGAAGGGGCTGCGGTCCTTTAGAAGCTTGGACCTGAAGTACAGGGGCTGGTCTTCAGACAGTTCTGAACCCTCTAACTTATCATCATCCAAAATGTACATGCCTGAAAAACAGAAGTAGCACAAAAATCTAAACACTAAAGGTAGCTGTGGAATCAATACTTAATACCCAGCACTCACTTAGACAATATCTATCAAGCACAGTATGTAATACATGACAAAGCTGGCTAGACTAGGCACTTAACATTCTGGGAAACGCATTTAACAGAGGTAACTTAACAGTGAGATATAAAGAACTGCAGCTGTGAGTGTGGCTAATGGCTGCTGAGTGGTTGGAAGAGCACTCACTGGGCTGGGTGGAGTCACTCTCACTGTTGTGTCTGGAGCTAGTGGACTCTGAGTTGAGGCTTAGGGTGCTGGGAACTGAGGAGAGCAGGGTAGGTGGTGGCAGCTGCTGCTGCTGCTGCTCCACTTCATCAGGCACCACAGGCCACTGTTGCCTACGGCTGTGCCTCACTGCATCCCACCCCTGCAACTTCAGGAGCTCGCATCCTTGCTTTGTCTTGGAGATCAGACCCAGCACATATAGACAAGTCCTGGGGGAATGAGAGCAAAAGGGAACTTCAATACATCTAAAAGTGGAAAGTGACTCAAAGGGTGGGCATGCATGCTTGAGCCATTTAGGTGAGTCAGCTTAACCTTGCATAATACTGCAAAGCTCCCCAGAAACCTGGATGTCAGAGGTAAAGTGGACTAGAGGCTCGTGGTTACCTACCCTCTAATAGAGAGAACCTCACAGTGGTGGGCCAAAGCCACAATGTCTGGAATCACATTCTCCTCTTGCAGCAGGTTCAGACCCCAGTTTGATGTGCCAATATTACCCTGGGACCAAAACATGTTCAGGAACAGTCTGTGCACGCAATAAACAAACAAACAAAAGACACATGTACAAACACACGTACACACTCAAGTGCACACACTAGCCTTGAGCCGAAACTTATGTTAAATATTGTGGTCATTGGAAAAATTATTATACATTAATAATATAATAAGTTAATATTAGTACTTAATAATATAAATTATCATAAATAGATATAACTTATTATAGACATTGTGTAACCATTCTAATATGTGGTTAGCAAAATGTATACAACAGAACAAACTGCACTGGAATAAAAGCTTTACAAACAGAAAATCATCAACTTATTACTCATACAGTTCTGTGCAAAAGTCTTAGGCACCAAAGCACATTATTAAAAACAAAATAAACAAATAAACGAACATAGGAATTTCTTGTTTTCAAAAAAGTACTTGATAACTTGTGACCTAGTTTGAGATAAAAATTGGTGCCAGATTTCTCCTAGACACCCTCAGTCATCACATGGATTTGTTAAATTCCATCACCTAAATGCTTACTGCCCATATAAATAGCTTTTTTTACATCTAATTTTCTCAGGTGCCTAAAACTTTTGCACAGTGCAGCACATACCTTGACCACTACTCAGCAAAACTATAACATAGATTTCCAGTCTGGCAAAGAATGCTGGAGTACATGCAGATGAATCACAAAAAAACTCTAGTACATATGATATTCTCTCCAACAGAGCACAAAATTGACAAGCTTCTCTAGAAGAAGCATGCCAATGCTCTAGTTTGGCAAAGTTTCCAACCAAAAGAATGCAGAGAACAGCTGGATGTTACATGTGTTCCATGTCATCTGCACAGAACATAGTTATTATTATAGGTTATTAAGTAATATTAGAAGCTACCCTATATTGTAACTTAATGGTAACTACATTATCATTATTGTCACCAGAGAATGCAGCTATAGGGTAAGGCTCTGTAATTCTCACAGGTGGTACTTCGTAACTGAATTTGGATTATCATGATATAGTTTATTGTTCATTCTGTAGATGAAACCGTTTGTCTAAATTTACACTACTTTACAGACACACCCATACTGAACTGTACTAACCAAGGCCCACAGAGCAGCTTTAAGTTGTTTGATGCCTTCCCATGTGTCCAGCACTGGGGAGCGCACTGTGTAGCTCAGGTCTGGTACGACATTCTGTCAGTAAGAAGCAGAAGACATGAAAGCTTCTCAATAGTGATACATAATAATAATTAAAAAAAAAAGATCAAACAAACGTAATTTTCCATTCCAGTATTTTATTTTTTTTACCAATTTCCAATATTACCTGAGCTTCTAGGAGATGGCAACCTGTCTTATCATGCACAAGCTGACCATACAGATGCACTGGTAGATATACATTTGGCCTTTGCAACCTGTTTCTGGGGGCAACAACCAGTGACAAACCAAATGAAAACAGAAATGTAAACAGCAAACTGCAGCAAACTGGTTTTAAATGTGTAGCGAATAAGAAATTCTAGGGAAAGAAAAGCGCACCTTTGGTTGCTCCGTCGTACATAGTTGTCCCCATCAACTGGTTTGCGGTAAGTAGTGAGCGCCTCATTTAACTGCTCCTCTATTAGGTCCACATACTTTAGATTATATTCCTTCATAGAAAAAAAATATACAGTGCGTTATTACAAAAATGTTAACATAAGAGTAAAATAAATCTGGTATTGCTGTATTATTTGTTTTAGTACTAAGTCATGAAATATAAAAAGCTCTAGAACTATCAGAATTTCAGTTTTATGAACTGCACCGTACACAGTTGTTTACATGTGTGTCAAGTACTGCTTAAAAGTCAAAGAATAAATCAGAACATGTCACAAGAGCAGGCTTCATTAGAGCTTTCATTAGAGTGAGAAGTATTTTCTTCAGAATGTACTCTCAAGAGAAAAAAACTGCTCAACAGTGATCAATGATTCGTCCTAATAGTCTTTTATAGTCTTAATAGCCTTAAGAGTTTGCACTTTGTAGATTTTTCCTTCTGGCTCTTTGAGTTGTACTGTTCCAATTTACTATGTTTGAGTTAAATAAATAAATGTAAAATGTATTTTTTAAGCATGAGTAACTTTTAAAAAGAAAGCATAAAAACCAACCTCTGCATTGAATGACTCCATTCAAAACTAACTAGGCGCTAGTTCATTTCAATGTACAACGACAGCCCAACAACATAACAGATGTATATCATTTGTGTTAAGCATGAACAATGGTTCCAAGTAAGCAAGGTTACAGCACCTTCTGCCATTTCTCCAGCTGCTTACTGACATAGCCCCTCTCATTGAGGTAGGAGAAACCCTTTGGAATAGACAAGAACCTAGAGAGACAAAAACACGTCACTGATGAAATGGAACATTATCTTAAGTTGAACAGCCCCCCACTCACTGTGTTCGTTATTTAGACCAACATCAAAACAGTCCAATTACTGCAAACTTCTTAAATGTAGGCAGATAAAATTTCAATGCTGTGGCTAATCTAAGAAGCCCTGGTCCAGTACTCAGATTTAAATAACCTTATCACTCAAAATTCTGGCAGCAATAGGACTTCGTGTCTCTTCCCGTTTAAACATTGCTGACATGAACTTCAATGAGCCAGAGACATAAAATCTAAGGGATTCATAGAGATTCATAGAGATTCTTGCAGCTTACCGCAAAAGCAAGAGCACACCCTTGTCCCCTAGGTGAGTTAGTGCTGGCTTCAGTTGAATAAGTGCATGGAGATTCGCCTTAAGAATACAATCAAAACAATCAAAAAGAGGCAGCCAAATGTAGAAGACATTCAATGAATATATCAATAGCTATGATTTTTTTTCTAATTTGTCGTTGTCATTGTGTAAATAGACTCTGTACATCAGAATTGTGGCAACAATATGTGACTCAAAATATCAAAAACCATCAATTTGATAGCTCACATTGGACAGCAGCATTTGAGGCTGACATGAGCCTCGTACAATTTGAAATAAAGCATATAGAAATGGTAATGTGAACTGAATAAAGGTCATTCAGTTTGTTTAAAATGAGAAAAAGGATAACAGAAATAAACCGTATCTAAATGTATGTTTAGGTCGCAACCGAAACTAGGAATGTAAACTTGTTATTTGGACTGATGGGATGAGTTTAAATGTTCAATTTATTAAAATTCAATAACAGAAACTCCAACATGCTGGGTTAAGCTGCATTACCTTTCCTGAAAAAAGGACAATTTTATCTGTTTATGATAATAAAGCTTTAAATTATATAACGTCCCTAGTGTATGTAATCGAGTCCTGACCTAGCCATGTATCTCACCTTGTCCTCGCAGGCCTCATCCAGTATGTCCAAAGCCTCCATAGAGATAGCCTTGTTTCGGTCATGGAGCTGAGTGACCAGCAGCTCGATGCCCCAGTTACTGAAGAACTCCACATTGGCGCGGAGCAGCACTCGCAGGTGCTTTGTGGCATAAAGCCTGCAGTTCTGTCAAATATACATACACATAGAACACAGGAGTTACTCTGTGGTTAGCCTACAAAAAGAGCCTTTTCTCTATTATTTAAACCTTTTCATTAGCAGTAATGAAATAACCACAACACAATAGCCATTTCCGACAAAAATAGAATAGTAAACATATACAAGGTATTTTGTAAGCATCAAGAAGTAACATTGACATGTTCAGTCCGTAAATATCAGCTCTTCGAGCACCAGGCAATCATTTGCTTACATCCGTTGCAGCAGTGAGGATCTTGGAAAGGATGACTCGTGCTAAGCCATCTCTGCTGTAGTCCAGTGTGGATACAGTCAGCTTCAATAGATGATCCTGATTCTTCAGGGAGCACAGGTTCAGCAGGCTGTATGGAAACAGAGAGAGAACAGGAGCAGTGCATCATTATAGCACTTACTTCACATGTTTTGCACTGGGACAAGAAGATTATGCTTAAAAGATCTGCATTTCCTGAGAAAGTGGGCTAAGAAGAAAAAATGCTTGTGTACTGTAAAACCACTCCCATCAACTGTAACTGGCTCAAACCTTGGTCCATCACCTGACCTCATCAATGCATAAAATATAATCACGCATCAGGAAAGGGTTAGACTTCTCACAACTCACCACTGGAAGACACCGCATTTCTCCAGCAACTTAACACCATTAGGGTGGGCAGAGAGAGTGCCCAGGAAGAGGAAGTAGTGTTGGCTGAGAGTGTTGAGGAGGCCATTGCTCTGTAGGCTACGATCCGGTTTGAGCCCAGATGATGAAGACAGCCACTGTACAATGTCCTTCACCAGGTCCTCCAGATACACCTGCCCATCCTGAAGAGAGGATAAGCAAGAGAAAAATGGTAAATTTAAAATTATAAAACTCAAATATATACACACACACACACCCACACACACACACACACACACACAATGTTTTGTTACTATTTTTTCTCCAAACTTTATACCTTTTCTTCTTATTTGCCCTCACCTCATCTGACTCCAGCAGGAACTCGATGAACTGGCAGCCGACCACGGTCAGCTGTTTGGCCTTGCTGTGGTCCAGCTCCAGGCTGGCATATAGTTTACTGCTGGGTTTGTAGAAGAACAAGAGCCTCCGTACAAACCTAGAGAAACCATGACACACTATCAGGTGAATTCACCATGCAACAATAGCACAATAACAATAGTACAAACACCATAAGAAATGAGGGCAAAAGTCAGTAAATAAATTCTTACTTGTGCATTTGTTCATCTTTGCTGCTGCGCAAGTTAACATTTGGCCACTGCAACGTAACAACAACAGATACAATACATTTTAGATTAGAGTAAATTATAAAATGTTTGTGAATCATATAAGAGAGACTAGTCATTTAGACTATATAATATGATATCATCTGATCTTCTGTTGTTCTACTAACCTTTAGTATTGTACCGATAAGTACCCAGTTCCAGTCCAGGTTTTGTTTGTGATTGAGAATATGGCTGTCTCGGAGGTTCATCAGCAGTGCCTCCTCAGTGTCCTGAAAACACAGCAGCACATACATGCAAGGTTAAAGAACATCAGTTCTATTCCGATGTACATGAACAAATAAGATACTTCAAACAATGCTGGCAAAGAACAAATTTAAAATCTGCTTACTCTGAAAGCTCTGAAAGCTAAACTGAAGGCTAACAGTTTATTCTCCACTTTCCTAGAGCAATGCTTAATGGTGAGGACATGCTGGCTGTACCTTAATCACATAGATGTCCTTCTGGGGTCGCAGGTGCTGCTCTCGACAGTAGTGGGCGGCGGCTGACTTGCGGACAATATGGTCCAGATAAAGGCTATTGGGCTTGGGGCCTCGCTTCTTCTTCTCATGGAAGCGCTTCAGGTAGTTCACTGCAGCACTCGCACGTCTAACACAGCATAATGAGCAAGAGAGAGCATTTCATCAAACATCATCAGCTGGAAAATTCCCTTCATGTCTTAGACTTGACTTAGCTTTGAAGAATGCTTACAGCCTCTTCTCCTGAGGGATATCGAAGGAGGCTGCCATGTTCATGAGCGTAGGAAGGCAATGCAAGTGGTGGCTATGGGAGTGAGGGAGAATGGTATTGGCCTGCAAAAGAGGAAAGCAACTCACTAATTTAGAAAGACGACTGGACAATGTCAGACTAGATGATTCATTTCTTTTTGATAAAAACAAAGTGAAAATGGCAAGAAAATATACCATGTGCAAGAGTTCTCCTAAGAGGATGGTAGCGCGGACTGAAATGTTGTCATCACTGCTTGTGACTACTTCCACCAGCCCCTGAGGATATGTGAGAACAAGAGCAGGTTTAAACAGGCATCCATGGCATATTTGAGAGCCCATTTTGCAATCTTTCCTGGGGCCAAAATATTTAGCGAGCTTATACATCCATGAGAAACACTACATTTCTGTAAAACCAGTGGTGATGCAGCAATGCGTATGCCTCTGTCACCTTCACTTGAAAAAGAACTGTACCTCTAGAAGTCCGCTATTGATGAAGGCAGAGAGTACAAGTGCAAGGTAGTTATCCATTAAGTCAGGCCTATGGAGATATAAGAGAGAATACAGAAAAGACATGCAAGTATTTTGAAAGCACTTAAAACTTTCAGTGTCTGGCAATTTTCCAGCTTAATGTCTGCTCCCACCCCACCCCTCACACTATATCACTCTTTCCCTCCAGCGCTCTTACCTTGACCGTGCCCGATGAGGGAGGATAATTTTTGCTTCTGAGGCCACAAAGCCGTCCGACAGCCTCCAACTGTCCTGAAATCTACTAGGATCTGCAGAGGAAGAAAGAGGAATGTAGAAGTTATTATACATTCTGTTTGTGCAGTCCAGAAGAATTCCCACTAACATTTTTCATTAACCCCTAATAAAAGCATACACTGAATACAGGATTGAAAAAAGGATAGGAGATGTGACAAAATGTAACACCACAACACTCAGAAGAGTTTTACCTATCACAAAAACTTATCGTCATATCGGCCATCCGTAATGTGCATTTGTGCTGTGTCACCACTCACCAACACTAAGAAGAGCTTCAATGAAGTCTTGTGTAACTATGGGAACGGGGAGGCGAAATATGTCATACAGCACCTCCAGTAGGCCTCTCTGTAGAGAGAACAGCCATTAGAACAATTCATCAGTACTGTCAATTCTGAATATCCGTCCCATAGTGAAGAGAGTGTTTAATGCAACTATTTTAAATGATGAATTAGAGGTTACTGAATAAATATTCAGATAAACACTCAGTTGACACTAACTGCATTTCATATTGAGCCATACCAAAAATAATATTTAAAAATGATTTAATTTGCCTTGTCTGGGTGATACCTACAAATAATTAGTACAATATTTTCTCATATAAAAAAAAAAAGAAAAGAAAAAAAAAATCTGGACTGTCAATTACACTGCCCGCCCCACCCCTGCTTTTAGACTTGTGAGATAATAACATCCCCTGCTGGAGAAACTTCAGACTGCTAGACATGAACCGTGAGTTTGTACATGGCACATCCATGGCACATCCATGTACTTTACATATTATGAAAAACAAGGTGATTTCCAATGTTATAGGTTGGTCACTCTGGAATTTCACTACAGATACCCATAGGAAACCATGAAGTACTATATTTTCACAATTTTACAACTTATACAAGCAATCAGGACACTTCCAATTGCATCACCTTTGGACTTTATGTACAAGTAGCCTTTAAACAGCCTCTATATACCCTCACTTCCTTATCTGGTATACATACCCTCACTTCCATATTTGGTATACAGAGTAGGCCAATGAGGGACTGGATGCCAGAACTACCTGACTTACACAGGTTAATGATGCCTGGATTCAGACAGAAAAAAAAACAAAAAAAACAACAACTGTGGTCAACCAGGGATTGAGCCGAATTGCAATGCAAGAAATATCTGAATAAATATAAGTTTAAATGTGTCTAATTGAATGCATTCATTACTTACCAGACCATGAGCGGAAGGAAGCTACAATAGACATCTTACTGGCCAGAAATCGAGCCTCTCTGTCTTCCCTAGTATGAAAATTATGGTTCAAACTGAGCACAATGGCATACTTTTCAAACATGCAAATTACAGTACATAAAAAGTGATAAATTAAATTATTTATGTCATTGTGAGCTGTATGATGAAAGCAAGCTCTGTGATCAATGGCACAAACTAGCACACTCACTTGAGCTGTCCCTCTGCAGTGTCTGGATTGTGTCTGTAGTGGAAATCTGTATAAGGTGCCAGGATTTGCTAAAAAAAGATAAAAGAATATGATAGACAAGGAGCCTTTTATCAAGTGGTGTTTTGTTTAGCTTCAGCACTTTTTCTATGCTTTTAACAGACTGGTTCTAAAAAGCGGGGCCTGTACCTCAAGCTCGACGTCAGAGCGCACATACTGGCGTGTATGCGGGTGATTGAGCAGGTGCAGGATGGTGGTCATCAGAGCCTCGTTGATGCGGCTGAGCTGGCAGTCAATCACATTCTTTAGGATGGTTTTAAGACCGCCCCTCCGAGCCACAATCTCTGGGTTCTTCAGTGCTGTACAAATGTAACCAAACATCACTTTATATAAAAGCTTGGCAAAATGAAAGTAAAAGGCCTGTGTCTGTGTGTGTTCACCCACCGAGTTCACATATGATGGCAATGCAGGCGCGCACCATGCGGTCACGTTCCTGCAGGCCATCGTTGCCTACAGCGACGAGGGAGTTGGTGATGGAGCTTGGGAAAAGCTGAGCATTCACAGTGATCATCTGGAATAGAGGGGGATCACAGCAAAAAAAGACAGCATGTGAGAGAGAGACAGAGAGCAGGAGAGACATTTGTTATTCAACTGGTATTCCATATACCAGGGTAGACATGGCCTATTGCTGTGTGCCCCTGGTCACAACATTTCATGTTTTGGTTGCAAAAGCTCAATCACAAGTGCCGCATTCATGGTCCTGCAGTCCACACCTGCATGTGTATGGGCATGCGAGGGCCGTGAGGCCATAGTGTGGCCTGCTTCTCATTTTGCTTTTCAAAAGGGTGCTCACTAGTGCCCTCTATGTGGCTTTACTGCAGCCTTTGGCGAGGACTGCAACAATGTGTCCAGCAGCCTCTTACCTAAAATTCCATGAGATACAGGTGAGGACCAATCAGAATGGGTGGTTTTAGTTCATAGATGCTGCTACAATGTTTGCTACTACTCCTCCAAGAAGTAATGTCTTAAATAAAATAAACGTGTTAAATAAGCTGGCTGAGAGGCTATTACTGTAGTAGCTAAACAGTATCTAATGAAAGGATCTACACTGGATAACTTCAGGTTGTACCTGTTCACATTTATGTACATTTTTAATAAATATTTCCTTTTTTGAACCAACACCTGACTGGTTTTTGGTACTGAACCATGCTGATTAATTGCAAATTCAATTTGTACACTATAAATATGGTTCTATGATTGAGGGCACATAAATTTGGCCACAATATAACATTTTGTACTTTTTAATGTAAAATATTAATTTAAAAACAGAGCACAAAGGACAGTGTACTGTGAAAGGGCACATGATGACATTTAGGGTTCAAGGTGCTTAATAGGTGCACACATTTAAAACAGGCATCAAAACAATATCTGTAGTTAAATTCAAGTTTAGGTGCCTCACCTTTCTCACCAGTCGGAGTGCCTGGGTCCGCTCCACTTCATTGCTCTGCTGAATGTCAATGCACCTACACAGTAATGAGGCAAGGATACGTTACAGGAATCTGCTTACTCAATGACAAATGTCATTTCAGATAAATCAAGCACAAACTGCGTTTTACTTCAGTGACCACTGAACTGTGTAATTTCAGTTGGCAATTTTAAAACAAAGTGAATACACACATTGTAGAAATGCCTGATTTGTCAGAATGAATACCTGTCTTGAGCAGGAACAGCTGTAACTTGCATGTATTCTCACTGCATTCACAGTGAAAATTCATATGACTGATTATAGCATGGATTAAATGTGAAACTGTCTTTGTATCTAGAATTAAAAATGTTGCAGTAAATGTACCAAGGGCACTTTTACTTGAATTCTGCATGGTGTGAACCTGTGGCTGTAACGTCCAGTTCAAAGATCCCCTGCTGCAGGCTGACGATGTGCACAGACAGCAAAGGCACAAAGGGAACACTACATCCCTGCTGCACAGCTACACTGCAGACAGCCTCTGAGCCTACTGCTTCACACTGATCCTAACTACAGATGACTTCCACTTCCCAGGGTCTCTCAGTCACCCTCTCTCTAATAACCACACATGCACACACAAACACACACACACAAACACACATACAGAAACACTCTCTCAAATCCTAACATGAGCTGATCCAGTCTTCTCTAAGCATTAGCATCATTATGTGTTAAAGGCATTCCATCTACTTCACTGTCCCTAGAAAAAAACTGGCTAAAATGACCCCATTTTGAATAACTGATGCATGACATATTGGGAGCTGTTCTTCGAATGGGCTGGACAAACCTGGAAATCAGGTAATCCACCTGGAAGCGGAGAACTTTCTGGAGGATAGCGCCATCTCTGATCAGGTAGCGGAGAGCTCGCAGACCTGCTGCCCGTACTTCTTTAGCTTCATTAAGCAGAGCCAATCGGAGACTGGGAAAAGAATAAGAAATAAAATTGGGTCAGATATTACACCAACTCTGTGTACGTCCAATATTTCAAAAAGGTTTGATGCCTCACCAGATAATGATTTCATCATAGGTAAAGCCAAACTTCTCTTCCGAATGGCCGATATTGCAAAGTAGCTATGTGAGAGGTAAGAGATCTGTTAGTACAGCAAATAAACAGTCTACATGATGAGCATTTCATTATCAAATTTTTTAATCTGCTTCAGCCATACCTGAAAAAGTGGTATTTGCTTAAAAATAGTACACATCATTAAACATTATCAAAAGCACCATCACACCCAAGTTCAGTGATAGCTGCAGAGAAAGCTAGCCAAACAGACAAGTTAGTAATAATAATAAAAAAAATATTAAAATCCTGGCCCATCAAGAAAAATTAACGGTTGGGAGGAGGGGGGCACAGAGACGTGTCCTATCCACAAAGGGGGCCTTAAGACTAAAAACATTTTGAGAACCACTACCTTAAAGAATGTCTCTACAAGAAAGTGAAGCTACAAATGATCAACAAAATAGCTACAAGGTCAGGGTAGTATGGCAAACCGATAACTATGCCTCAGCCCCAGTGTTCCAGAGAATAGGCATGGAGCAAATGACATGATGACAAACCTTAATGAAGTTGTTCAGGTGACCCAATTTACGCATGTTGGAAACACCCTGCTGTTTGGCCACATTTTGGAGGATCTCTCGCAGGTTATCTTTAGGGTCTGCAACAAGATGATATCAGATGAAATTACAACACTAAGCTTCAGTTGGAAAATGCTCATAAAAAACTATATCACTAATAAGTCCTTTGTTCTTCATCTTTTTTTTATTTAAGCAAACTAAAACATTTCAATCCACATGTATCAGGATTCAATTAACCCAGTGCTCACCCAGTCTTGATTTCCAGGAAATACTAGCTGAAGAAACTTTAGAGAAGCTGTAGCCACTGTAATTGGCCTAAAATCAAGGGTGAGGAGTTTCTTTGAGCGAATCAAAGAACTATCAAGACAAAAGGTGCAGGAATGACAACATTGTCCCTTCACATATGGTGCTCACAATCACTACTTTGTTTCTTAAACTCAACAGTGAAACTGTACCCAACTCAGATGTCACTGTGGAACCTCATTTCAGTTAGGAGTCAGTACTATGCTGCATGTACTCTTAGTTATTTAGTTACATGGGAGGCTCTGCATAATTAAATGGTTAAGATGTAAACAAAGTCATTCAGAGTGGCTTGATGTGAAATGCTTCGTTCTAGAGAAACTTACCATATCAGAATTGTGGTAATAAGAACCAGAAATCTGAAGAATTTCATGCCTCTAAATGTTCCTACACATGAAATAGTTGCGAATGTGTTGCCTAATGTCTAAGACAACAGTTTTGAGATTAAACTTCTTGCCTAAAACATATTCTTTTAAAATCAATTTATGGCAGGGTTGTATATGCAGGGTGTTGTGAAGCAAAACAGTCCCTACAGAAAAAGTAATTTTTTTAGATTTACCTCTATTTACCATCACCATCATATATAACAAAAGACAAGTGTAGGTTCACTGGTGGTTTTGGATAGTAAATAAATGGTCTACATTTGTGTTGTAGACATCGTGACCCCTGGTACCTAATCACTTAAAACTTAAACAATGCAGTCTGAGTCAGTAAGTTTCTCTAAAATTAACCATTTCACAATAAACCACTCTTAACAACTTTGTTTACATCTCAATGCCTGGTTTGTGCAGACATTTAGAAAAACTGGTGGAATTCCCCTTTAAGAACAAGATTTGTTTTTCAAGAACAGCCAATAAGAAGTATGGTGGAGCATGGCTGAGTTGTGACAAGTAACTGCTACTGCAAACATAGTACCAATAGAGCAAGAGTGTGAATTGATACAGCACAAACACTTCAACTGACTAAATTCAGAAGAATGTGCAACATTGTACAGTAGTAAATGTTCTTGTTAGTAACACATGAAAATGGGTCTTAAACTGGAATAAATTGCAATAAAATGCAATCCTAAAATAGTTGGTCAGTCAGTCTGTGCATTTCTTTCAATGACAGACATTATTTAGCAATTCTGTACAATGTCTCCTCAGGATACTTACAACAGAGGTGAAAGGGGTATAAGCCAAAAAATTTTAAAGTAAATATTACATCTACCACCCCTAAAAAGACAAGTCTATATAGTCAAAACAGCCTGAACAATTCTGTCTTCAAGACACTGCTTAACATGTTTTAACTTGTTCAACATTTAATATGTTAACACAAGCATATCCATTCACCCAGAACATAAGCTGAGCAATTTGCCATTATAATAGTCCTATATTCTGGAAATGTCTTAACAACCGAATCAGCATCCATAGTTTTAGACAACGATCAGATGCAACTAGTGATATGCATTACTACTAAACAAACTCATAAAAAAAAAAAAAAAAAAACCTAAAACACTGCTGAAAGCTAAAAGGCTTATCTCCAAGTAAAGATAAAACTGGAGGCCTGCACACCCCAAATCAACCAAAGTTTGTTTCACTAAGCCTATTTTACTGCTATGTCAAAAGAAACACTGTGGTACTGTGGCAGTAGGGGTGAAACACTCTGAGCAAAGCCTCCCTGCCACCACATTGTCTTACTACAACAAAGCAAACACAATAGAGAGATCGTGGCAATGTGATGATGTCATGAGGGCATGATTTGAACATACCAACATCTAGTATTCCCTTTGAAGAGATGCGATTACTGGTCAAACGCAGATCAGCTATTTGATACAAAGGGAAACCTTTCTCCATATATTCTATTTGCACTGTAAACTGTGCCTCTCTGGGCTACATACTAATTTAACAATGACCGTTTGTGAAAGATCTGAACAGAAGGGTTGGTTGTTTATGGAATATGCCACCACACGGTAATATGAACAAGTAAACCTGGCAGAATTTGCATCCTAACAGAGTTCACAAGTCGAACCAGGCCTAATTCCATTGCGTAGAGCAAGTTAAGTTTTCAGAATAAATCTAAATAAGATACACAGATACATAGCCTAACAAAGTAAGCTACAAAAGTAATTATTTGTTACTGGACAACATCATGCAATGAAAAGTTAATACTGCTACTATTACTACTATTATTATTATTATTATTATTAAAGTATATACTTGAATTTTATACAAGTATAAACAATTTTCCTTATGCTCAAAATTTGAGCTTAGATTTGTATCAACACCATTCATCTTACTCACAGCATGCAAAAAAGCTTCAGGTTATGACAAATAGAGCCTATTAAAATAAATAAATAAATCATCCTTATATTTAAAGCAACTGATCCAGCCAGTCTTCGGTATGCAAACCACTGCAGAATATTAATAAGGACTAACAGACTTGTGAAGAAGACATGTTTTCTTTCCAGACTAATTCACATTTATAAGCAAGGGGCCTTTTAAAATATGAATTCCACCAAGGAGCAGATGATATCAGTTCCACTTCAGTATCGACCATGAGACCCACTTAAAACTAGTAATTTCTAATCTAATCATACTAAGACGGAACCTTAATGGTCAATGTTTTATTTTTCAAATTTAAAAAAGTCAAACATGAGATGCTTGACAAAGGGAGCATGATGTATTATCTAGCATGCTTACTCAGCTGGCTGTACAGCATACCAGTATGAAAATATCAGTGCCACTCCACTAAAGCACTATTTAAACTAGATTACAAAAGGAGGTTCTGTAATGTCATTTTTAAGAGATTTGACAAACCAATTTATACTGGATAAAACAGACTGTCTGTGCAGTTTCCCCAAATTACAACAGATAGATTGGATTGAAAGTCACAGGTCAGATGTATAGATGCAACACTTAATAACAATACAGCACACACCCATGTCTATTAGCAGGTTTTGTTATGACATTACTGTGAAATCAACTGAAAAAGGATTACTAGTCTACTGCTGAGGGGAACACCTGGTTAGGCAAAAAAGAGAAAATAATTCACTCTGGATTTTACATCAGACTTCAAAAACTGCACACACAGATGGATTAAAATCATGGACCTCATCTGTAATGTCTTAAATTACAGTACCTCTCCAGGTAATACTAATCCAGCTTGAATAGGGCTGACGTACTAGCAGTTTTGGTTCTGATTAGGTGTCATTAAGTGTATGATGGAAAAATCTGTTCTGACAACGGTAAACTCATCTCACCACATTTGTCTGGTTCATTCACTCATTAAATATCTGAGAGGAATCTGAAACATTCACCCCTCCTCCCAAACAGGCAGGCTAATTCCAAATGTGCAAATTAGGCTAATTAAACTGGAGACAAGGAATGCATCAGCACACCCTAACACTAAATTAAACATGTCTGATATCACTCCCATTATTACATATTGCGATGTAAAAGCACAAAGTGAAATGTATTGGAAACTTTAGCTATGTCATAAATGCTTGCAGATTTTTTTTCTAAACAGTAAAACAGGGTGAGTTTAACTTTCAGCAGGACATGATCATGTGTTAAAGCTGAGGTGCCAAAACGTTTTGTGGAATCAAGGTGCAACGTTTGTGGTGAACCAAGGGACAAAAAAAGACCAAAACCACACAGAACTATATAGTTTAAGGAAGTAAAATAAGAATTTATTAAGTATAAATATGTTTGTTCTCTGACAGGGTGAGAGGGTGAGGTTGGTCTAACTTTCTAGCAAGCCAAACCAAATGTTCTCACAGTCCAACTTTGGCCCATGGGCCACATGTTGTGCAGCCCTGTGTTAATCTCCTCTTGGAAATGAGGTGCTTAACAATGCCAGTTTGAAAAGCTCTAGTGGCAGGTTGCATGCACACTGAATAAGGTGTTTTATGGCACTGGCCTTACAGGTTGACTGTGCTGTTTTCTTCTACTGTGGGAAAGGGCAGTGACTAGACAGATATAAAAACACACACATCAATTCCAGAAATGAAAGTAACTTCAGAACTCAACACTTGAATTAAAAAGATGTGGTACTACTGTAAACATAAGTGTACAGGTAGCTCCCAACAGGAAACAGAAACCAAAGTTCTGTGTTTGTCTTAAAACAAAGATTTGAGGAGCGTTTTACAAAGCAAGACTTCTCAGTTAGGCTGATAACTTAAGCTCAGAGTTAGGGATTGTCCAATAGGAATGTCCCTCAGTTCTTTTCCTATTGGATAGGCTTAACTTTGGGCTTAAATCCCTGCTGTGTTTTGCTACAAACAAGATACATCCTCACCATTAAAATCACAATGCAGTATATAATAAAGGATATGGAAAAACAAGTAGTAGGCAGAGTCGTGGATGCCATAATGACCATAATGTAAGGTTACAGCCATGGGAATAGTACCGGAACGCCACATTAGTAAACATATAACCGCTAGATGTGCTAGCTATGTAACTAACGTAAGATGTTATACGGCCATAGGATGGAAACACATGGTCGTTTTACAACATTTCTGAGAATTATTCAGAAAGCTTCCTCAAATACACAAGTTACCGACAAACCAAACCCAAAACACAATATATGCAGCTAGCTGGCTAACGAGTCTGTTGGTTAATAATGTGCTATAAACAATGCCCCTCTTTTCAGACACGGTTTCCAGCAGCATCGTTGATCCTTAATAACATCTAGCTAAGTTATTTGTCACGACAATTCACCCGTTAACTGACACAAGCGCAATTACACGCACAAATTATGTCTGAAATGACACATTTATGACTCCTTCAACTCTGACTGGAAGGTTTCCTCGCTAGCAAGCAGCCAGGAGAAACGGCAGCTAGGCTGGGTGATGCTTCAGAGAGGAACATCATGGGCGGTATGATAGACGAGAAAACATGCCGATAACATGTTTTCGGGGTTTTATTTAAAGCAGCGTGTTCCATCTATCTTAAAATGCCAATATATGTGTGAAAATGAGGAGCTTAGCACCGTTGGTCTGAGGTAACCCACCTCTAGTCAGATCGAGCGGTACATTTTCCTCCCCACTGTCATTCCGACCTGTCAGAAAAAGCGACAGCAGATGGTAAGCCAGCACAGACGCTGCACAGACAACTGGTTTTCGAAAAAGGCCTATTATTTAACAGGATACAACGGATAAGAGTGAGACTCGAAGCCTCCAAATCTCACCTCGCATCCGTATGCTTCGGATAGGACGAGCTCGGATGCTAACCGCCATCTTTCCAGAGACAATTCACAACACCGGAAACCGCGCGGAATATCGCGAGAACGGAATCAGAACGGGGCGAGACGTCCAACACCCTCCACCCAACGTCACACACGACACACAGATCAGGAGAAAGGTGTTCATCATTGCGTGTCTGTCAGACTTTGTTCTGGACTGACTTGAATAAGTTTATTCTTAGAAACACCAGACTTAGTTTAAAACTATATATATTGAAAATAGATCTATCATCTACACACCGGCATATCTTCTGAGCAAAAGCCAAAAGTTATTGTTTTTAAAGCAATTATCTCAAAACTCCAGTAAAACATTGTAAAGCACTCAGAACCTGTATTATCTGTGTCTCTTTTCCTCTGATATCTTAGCCTTACTATGTAATATTTCCCTGTAATTCTGTAACTCTTTTATCTTCTTTCCTTGTTTATTTTTTGTGTTCTGTGCTGCTGTTGTTCTGTTTACATCGTCATTACTGTATCACTTACATATGTATTGTACTAATAGAAAATAAACTGTGTAAATGAAAAATATGATAAATATATAGGATAAATATGATAAATGATTATCTATACGATAAATCTCATACTTTTAATGGCTACCAATGACGATGAATGGCCTTTAAACTCATAAATGCAAATTCCTAAATTTTTTGAAAGGGAGAATATTGTATGGAATGAATCTAACTTTAACCCTCTTTAAAATAAAAAAAACAATTTAAACTCTTCTGAATGTACTTCAATATGCTTATGTAGTAATGTGTTTCCCCTTCGCAAATGTGCAAATACGTATAGTTATTGATTTACATCTGATGCTGTGTATTATGTTTTGCTTAAAAAAAACTGCATGTCTTGATATGAACTTTAGTGCTATTTTGGCAAAATATAAAAAAAGACCCCACACGTATTTTATCTTAAAAAAACCCCCACTTATTTACACATCTGAAATCAACCAAAGATGCTGTTACTAATTGATAATAGCTATAAAGCTTGGTAATAGTTTGAAAGCACACGTTGGAGCAAAATAACTTCTGGAACTCACAACTCTATTTTTAAAAAAAAGCAAGAAAAAATACCTTTCTTCTGGAATACAAAATCTAAAAGTGCTTTCAAAAAAATTCAAATGGTACATCTTGTGTTTTGGTTTTCCTGTTTGAAATGTAAAGTTATAACACCACCAGTGATTTCTGCTATACTTGCTATTCTCTTGGTTTTATAATGTCTTCTGGGAAAGTTTGTTAAGTCTGCAGGGTTAGAATAACCATTTGATTACTGTAATATAGTAACACTGAAGGATAAACAGGGAGTCTGACGAGTTGGAATAGATTACTGTAATAAACTAGAAACCCTGAAGGAAAAAGCTTGGATTGGTTGGACTCAAATGCAATGCACAGTAAAAGGACTAGTGAAATCATTCTCACGCACTAATATAGAGGGCACATAAAGTAGAGTAGGCAGAGAGGATAGAGAAGTGTGACACATGACCTGCCAGCACCACAGCATTACAAAACAATATAGCATGTTTAATGCACTGTAGGATGGATTAATCCTGAAGAGTTGCACACAGGGTGGAAAAGTTGTTGGGGCTATGAAAGTCTAACTATGTGTTGTAGTCACGATAATGTCTTTTCTGTCAGAGAATATGTGTTAAATTTAGCTTGCTAATATTGGGCCTGATTCACCAACTGTTCTTAAGAAGAAATTACCTCTTAAAACCCACTTACACAGTTTTCATAAAGATTCTGACATTCATCAACATTTTCTTATTTGGGATTTGTTCTTAGGTAAGAACAGAATCTACACACACTCAGGAGCACAAAGGTGTGAACAATTCTGCGGTTTAAGAACACGTCATGAATCTGACGTAGACTTTTTCTTAGGCCCTTTCTCAACAACAAATTTAAGAAAAAACTTTATCATATCACTTTATTTATTTATTTATGTATTTATTTGCTTATTTCAATTCTCTTAAACAAAAATATAAGAAGGACATTGAACAGCATGAACTGAAGCAGTGGGCATAGATTCAGAATTTCTTGCATCTTCAAAGAGACCGGACACCATTAAAACCAAGCCCCAGATTATGTTTTTATAACTGCTCCTGTTTCATTTCACTAAGAGTATATGGGAGAACTGTCTCTACAATTTAGGCAAATCAAACTAGCACTACATCACTGGAACAAACTGTAGGAGAGGGCAGAAAGATACCCAACATGCTCTTTCACAAGTTTCAGAATTTGCAGGCTAGACTGTTGTGAGAAAAAAAAAATATGCCAGAGCATTCAAACTCACAGCACTTATAGGAACGGTTCACTAAAGAACCAAATTTAGCAGTTTTTTACCCTTTGAGCCAATCCGAGTTGTAATGCAGGAACAGAAGCAGTCCTGCGTATATGGAAGAATAAACGCTATCACCACTCACACACCATGAAAACCATCCCCTTTGAATGGCAACAACATAATCCTTACATTTACATTTACATAAACATTTCTTATTTTTTTTTTACATTTTTTTAGTCCATTGTACATATTTAAGGGCGATTCATTCACCTCATGTTCACATCTCCAGTGGTTTGAGACAAGTAATTGTGGCACCTCAATTTAAGGCCATCCCATAGCACCTAGCAGACAGAGGCCTCCAGTCAGGAATCCATCCCTGCGTATTAAGTTTGGATCTTTAGGTTTGCACTGGAGTATTGAGGTAGATATAAAATCTAGGTGACATAGACCTCTATTGCTTTTAGCTACCTTAGCTCCGTAGCTTCAGTGCAAGTAATAATAATATTATTATTACTATTATTTATTTATTTATTTTTGCACTTTGCACTGGAGCAAAACTCATTAAACAGATGTGTTAAAAGAACAATACATTCTGTCACTAACTAGTGTTGTGTTACTTTTAACACATAATGTGTTAATTCAGAAAACAATATGACAAAAAGTGTTAAAACAACTAACACAAGTGTGTTGTTATTTAACACATCATTTTTTATAGAGTGTACAAAGTTAAAGTAGCTTAAAAAGTAATGGAAGTCTGTTACTATTATTATTATTATTATTATTATTATTATTTATTTATTTATTTATTTTACAACTCTCCTGGGTGTGAACTCTATTCCTTCTACAGTAGGTGGCAGAAAAGCGCCTTGCGACGTTCAGTCTGCTTTAAAACCCCCAAAAGAAGAGAAAAACACAGAGTTGAACAGACAGATCCACAGAGTTAGAAGTAAGAGTGTTCTTTCAATAATACTTTTGAATACATTTACAAGCCAAATATTTATTTTTCTCTAATATGTTTAGCTAGTTGCTGGCAACTCGCGCTTGGTAAGGTTAGCTTCTCCTCCTTAGCGGTGGCTAGCTAAGTTAGCTAGCGGTTAGCTGGTTTAGCTCAGTTGGTTTCACACATGTGGAACTAACGTTAACAGCTGTTTTTATAACTAGTAGGCTGTCAGCTGTCAGTAACAGTTATCTAGCTGTTAAAATACTTCCTCTTCTGTTTTTTTAATTATATTGTTTCATTACTGTAAAGTGATCAGGGTTAGCTAAGTTCTTGTAGGTAAGTTAGGTTAACATGGCAAAGCCTACTGTAGCCAATAGTGTGCAGAGTTGCGGCTAGTTGAGGTTGTTATAGAGAATTTAGTAAATAACAGTATGTTAAGTCCTGTAGCCATAACATCTGTTTTTTTGTCAGGCGTTTGGAAAAAATATGGGCCGCTCCTCCAAAGACAAACGCGATATTTACTACAGATTGGCTAAGGAGGAGGGCTGGAGAGCGAGGAGTGCCTTCAAACTGCTTCAGCTAGACGAAGAATTCAATCTCTTTAAAGGCAAGTTTGCTTAGATATTTTGCTTTGGATTGCTTAGATTAGAGATGTCAAATAGATTCTATAAACAACGAGAAATAAAAGTCCAAAATAAACAAGGTGCCCCGTTTAATTAGTGAATTCAGCACCTACTGCTGGCACACAGCTTGTATAATCTTCAGAAAATCATTGCCAATAGAATGGGATGCTTTGAGGCAGCCAAACATTTGCCTAAGATCTTCATGCCTATTGTCAAGCTTCGGATAGAGGGGTATAAAGCCCCCCGGCATTGGGCTGTGGAGCAATGGAATAGCATTCCCTGAAATGAAGGAGCTTCATCTAAAACCTTTGAGATGAGTTGGTGTGGCTTGGCCAGAACTTATCATCCAACATCAGTATCCATCCTCACTAATGCTCCAGTGGCTACATGCAATCAAATTCTCACAGAAGTTGTTGAATAGAAATGTTGGATCAGCTGGTGTCTACAAACTTTTGGGCATATAGTGTACAATATTCAATTACTCAAGTGATTATTATAAACAGTGTAAAAAGCCACAATGTGACTGTAAGTTGTGTGCAGGTGTAAGTCGTGCGGTGGACTTGTGTGCTGCTCCTGGCAGTTGGAGCCAGGTTCTGAGCCGCAAACTCAGGTGAGTTCTCAACAAAATTTAGATTGCAGTTTCAGCAGTACTTTTTCCTCTTTGAAGAGACTGAACCTAAATTTCCTCTTTTGATTTTCTGAGTTTGTAGAGTTGACACAAAAAGAGTTGTAGTAATAATAAAGCCATATTGTGTTTTATCTATTGCATGATTACAAATAGAGGAAAGGAGTCAAGTGAAGATGTGAAGATTGTAGCTGTGGATCTGCAGGCAATGGCTCCTCTGCCAGGAGTCACTCAGATTCAGGGTGACATTACCAAGGTACAGCATTGTACTTACTCGCAGAAATGGGGCAGAAGTTACTTTGAAGTATTTTTGTTTAAATTTTGAGTTGATGTAAAATTTAACTTTTATTCATCTGAACTAAAAATTTTGCTTTTTTCATAGATTAAGCCAAAGCATTTGAGTTGAACAAAACTAGTTAATTTGTTCACATAAAGTAATTTTTTTTAGGTTAAATTGACAAATCTTTTTTTTTTTGTTTTACAGTGTACCAACTCCAATCTGTAGTGCTTAGTTAAGTGCATACTGTTCAAGTATAATAGCTCTAAAACCTCCTGGTTGAACAGATTGCATATTTTGGTTGATTCTCAGAATCAGATATCACCCACTACACTGCAAAAAAGCCACTCACATTAACTAGAAAAAATATTATTGAAAATGAGATGTAAGTTCTTTAATTAAGCAAAAAAAAGCCAATTGTGTAAGCAAAATTTACTTAATAAGACTTCTAAAAAATAAGCCTATAATATTTTTTAAGTCTATTTCTTTCATCTACGTCTCATCTAAGTCTTCTCTTTTTTAGGCTGTATTGCTTCATACTTGAACTAAGCCATCATGAACCAAGTGTTTAGTGAGACAAGTCATCGTATCAGGGAAAGAAATAATATTTATTGCCTTGATATGAGATTATTTCCCTTGCTAAAGTACAGGGCAGAAATTGTGTCTTAATTTGTGTATTCTGATTTGTATGTTCTGATTTATGTGTAGATTTCCACCGCTCAGGAGATTATCAGGCATTTTGAGGGACAGTCTGCAGACCTTGTGGTGTGTGATGGAGCTCCTGATGGTGAAGTTATTTTATGATTTAATTATTGTTCTGGGTCCAATATGTCTAATGTTTCTTATTATGAGATATTGTTATGATTGTTATGAGAGATTATGTAATGATTCAGTTTATTTTGATTTGATTTTGATTTGATTTGATTTAAGACATAATGCATATAATTTTGCTTATTTCAAGAAATAATAATTCACAATCAAAATTATCTGCCCAGGAAATAAATCTAGTTATTTGAAATAATCAAAAATGTATAGAACTGGGTTGAATGATCTTGGAATATCCTTTCAACAGTCTTGAAATGAGAAATATTACATATATTGACTAGATTTATGATGATTTCACTTGCCAAGATATAATTCTTTTGTGACGTATAAAAGAAATTGCAATTAGGCATCCTTTATGTGAATTGATTTATAATGAATGGTTTCCCCAAGTTGCCAGGATTGTTTTAGCTTAATGTTCATTGATTTATTTTGTATTTGTAGTTACGGGACTGCATGATGTCGATGAGTACATTCAAGCACAGCTCTTATTAGCGGTACGTATCACTAATCTACCTTTAGATGACACACATCTTAAATGCCTGCTTTTGAGCATTTGAAAAAATAATAATTTACTTATTTTATGTTTTATAAATCAGGGTTGTGCACAGTATACTGTTTTTGGTTAAATGCTACATATCACATACTGCTTAATAATCTAAAATGAGCTCTTTTACACTTGTGTTTAAAGGCTCTTAATATCACAACCCATGTTCTGAAGCCTGGAGGGAACTTTGTAGCAAAGGTAAGTTCTCTTATGCTTGATGTTTTAATAATGTCTGCATTCACAATTAAATTACATTACCATACACATTTCCAACATTAAAACAAATAAATTGTGTGGGTGAATATTTGCTGCATCGCATCTGAATTCATTCTCTGTCTTTGCTGATGTGAAGATATTTCGAGGAAAGGATGTGACTCTGCTTTACTCTCAGCTTAAAATCTTCTTCAGCTCGGTCACCTGTGCCAAACCACGCAGCAGCCGCAACTCCAGTATAGGTAAGTGCTACTGCTGCAGTTCTCTTTAAATTAAGTACAAAAACAAAGAAGAATCTGAAATCATATATCACTTGGATCTGTATTAAATTGTACAGTTCTTGTGTGTTTTCTTCCTGAAGAGGCATTTGTGGTGTGCCAGAATTACTCTCCACCTGAAGGATATGTCCCTAACATGTCCAACCCGTTACTGGATCACTCTTATGGTAATATTTATCTTTTCAAACATGCTAATTCCAGAGTAGTGTGTTATGCTTAATAATATTTTCTGTTTGTCATAAATTATTTAATAGGACAGTCACTATTCATTGTGTTACTAAAACAAATAATTAGCTGATTATTTTTTATAATCAATGATTAATCATAAAATAGTTTGTAAAAAAAAAGGCCAAAATAACAAATCAATAACATAAATCAATAACCAATCAATTAAAAAATGTATTTATAGTACTGTGCAAAAGTCATAGACCACACTTCATTAATTTAAGTTCAAGCCAGAACGGCTAATAATTCTGTAGATATTTCTGAAGAGATTAGATATAAGATAATCTTGCATAAGGGAAAAAGCAAAGGAAAGTAATTGGAAAAAAAACAAGAGTTTCCTGAAAATAATTAAAATATGTACAGAAAATGGGACTGTGAGAAGACAACTCAATGCTATGGGGTCTGAAAGGATGTGTAGCTGTCAAGAACCTTTTACTGAAAAAATAAGAAAATCTGCAAATCTCAAAAGACAACAACAATGAACAATAGACTGACCACCCCAGAGTCCAGACCTCATTGCTGAATTTGTTTGGGATTACTTGGATTGTGAGACGCAGAAAATGCAGCAACCTCCTAAGACTGAACTTTGAAGGTGTGGAAAAAAAAAATTCTTTGGAATTCTGAAAGCAAGTCTTCTGAAAAGAATGAAAGTTTTAATAAAATTAAACATTGGACACATTAAATACTGAAAAAAAATTTGTTGTGGAGGCCAGTGTATTTTTATTTATTTATTTATTTATTTATTTTGTTAAATGTGTTTTCTATTTTCTTTTTCCCTGATGCTGAGAAATGAATAACTTGTACTTAATAATGGTTTTGACTATAAATAATAAAAATTAAGGGTGGTTTCTGATTTTTGCACAGTAATCTAACTGCACAAATAACAAACCATACAGAGCCTTTTAGGGTTTCTGGGAACCCACATCTCAGAAGATCACTCATGGGCAATGAACACAAACTCGCTGATTGAAAAAGCACAACAGCGACTTCACTTCTTGAGAACTCCTAGGAAGGTTAATCTGTCACAACAGCTTCCGGTGTCTTTCTAGCATTTCTCCATTGAGAGCGTTCTGACTTACGGGATACTTGTGTGGTACAGCAGCAGCTCAGCAGCTGACAAAAAGGCTCTGCAAAGACTCATAAAAACCGCAGAGAAAATCACCAACACCCATCTGCCTATTTTGAAATATATCATCCAGCACATGAACTGTTTGAACGTCTCCCCTCTGGGAAAAGAAACAGGTCCATCCAAGCATTAACCACAAGATTGATGACTAGTTTTCATCCCAAAGCCATTACTACACTGACCTCTGCGCTATAACAATGCACCTCATAGGCACAACTGTGCAATAATTTATCATTACTTATTTATTATTTCAACCTGTGAAGTACACGTTCGATAAAGAATGTATATGGTTGACAAGTGTGAATTGTATGTGTGAATGTCTGGATGTAAGTTGAATGTCTGGATGTTTTTATATATGTGAATTTATGGATATATGTATGAAAATGTATGTATGTATGTATGTATGTATATGTGTGTATGCATGTGGTGCACCAGAATTTCATTGTAGGTAAACATGCAATGACAAAAGGAATTTACTCTAATATTTACAGAATGTTTCTGGAACAAGACAACTTTTTTTCTTTAAAAAAAAAAATCTAAAAAAAAATGAATATAAATGTATGGATCAGTCAGGTTCTGTTTCTTACTGTAGGAGAGCAATAGGAGAATTTTAAATATGCATGATCACTAAGCAAATTATGTGAGCTAAACATTGCTGATTCATCAAAATGTTAGATTTTAAATTAAAATAAATATTTTAATAATTTTAATATTAACACAGTTCAATAATTAGAATAATAATTTGATTTTTAAAAATCTAATTTAATCAAAGAGTCCTGATAGTGCTAGGTGTTTACTTCTACTGTTTACTACTGTTATCTTAAGCTTGAAAAGTTGTTAATAAACTAACGGTAACAAAGAAAAGATCTTCTAATGTTTCCTTTGCTGTTGAGTTGAATGTAATTGTTTCTATTGTTTTGTCAGATGTAGATTTTAACCAGCTAGAGGGGCCAAACAGGGTAATAGTTCCATTCCTGGCATGTGGAGACTTAAGTGCTTTTGACTCGGACAGAACCTACCCACTTCAGGTACCCATCTGCTACTTCTAAGAACTATAATGTACTCAACTGAAGGATTGTTTTTGGAACCAAGCTTCTATTCAAACTAAGATGACCTCTTAACATGTTTTGTTTCAGCTCGATTCTAATAAGGAGTATCAGTATCTGCCACCCACCCAGCCTCCCATACGACCACCTTATCAGCAAGCCTGTCACCTACGCAAAAATAACTTACTGGCCAAAGAAGATTCTCCATCCGTCTTGCTAGATGATTCTCTTTCTGCCATGAACCTCGACACAAATGAGAAAACTGACAGAACACCAGGAAATAGTTGAAAAGTCCAAAACATCACACTTTTTATTGTTTAAGTTTTCTTTTTTAAACAGCCTTCAACGTGGCTCAGTTTTATTGACAGTTTGCTTTTAATTTAATTAATAAACACTTACTAACACAAGAAGTTGTTCTGTGTTGTATTATTATGGAGATGTTACTCATCAGTTAAACTTTGTGATTTCCACGGTGACACTGTGTCTCATGCAGTCATCCATGCGTCTATGAGCCCCTCCACCCCCCACAGACCCCTCGAGGGAGATTAAATCTTACTGTCGACAAGACACTATGGAAGATAATAGTGCCTGTTTCTCTTCTCTTACAAACATGCTTAGTGGTCCATGACTTCCTGTGATAACTACACATCTGTGTAAAGTTTGTAACATCACTGAGGCTCAACATGATTGCATCTAAATGTAATTTGGTCAGTGATCAGTCTACAATATATTCAAAGGAGTGCTCCATTGTTTTTCAATGTAACCTCTATCTGCTGGGTCTGTAGCATACAGTCAGTTACCATTGGCAATAATTTTGAGGACAGAAAGGACAGAAAACCTTTGAAATGAGTTTGGAAGGCACTGGGCAGGTGCGTTGACGTCTATTATAAATGTGTTTTGAGGATATGTTTTCCTCAGTTCTTTTTTTAAGAGATTTTATATTGGTTTCAAGTCAATAGATGACATTTTTAATTAGAATCTTTCATCCTTTTTCTTGAAAACCTGTGGCCAGCATGCCCAACATGAGTAAGGCGTAAAATAGTGAAACAGTCCATAAGACTTATTTCCATACATCCTGTTTCAGTTCCTCTTGTATCTAGTTTACATACAAGATGCTGTCTTCTCTCTCACACTGTCAGTCATGATCCGTCAGATGTACCAATGTATATTATGTAAGTATTTAATATGATTTTCCAGTTTTGAACTGGTGGTTTAAACTATTTATTGTAATCAGTTTAAAAGTGAGATTATTTACCTTTCAGTGGGAGTTGCAGTCATGCTGCTAAATGCAGGTAAGTGAAACTTAGTTTTGATTCATGTACTCTTCTTATTTGTCATAGTTTTCTAAGAAGGGACTGATCACTAATGTTAACCTAGTCGAAAGATATGTAGATCTAAATGTTATGAATCACAAAGGAAATTACAGGGTTACAGTAATAAAATTACAGTATTTACAAAACATGGAAATAATGATTTTAATGCAGTTTAAAAAAATTGAAAATAAAACAACAAATACACTACAAATACAGATCTGTAAAGCTTTCACCAGTATGTCTCATGGTCTTATCTGAAGGTATCTCATTTGCAGACTCTCGTAGAAACAATTGTCAGTGCATCAATTATGCGCCTGGGTGCATCCCATCTTCTGACACTAGGGGAGCCTTTGTTTGAAAAGTGCTTGCGAACCTTAGCTGAACTAGGACTAGGGATTTTCCATATGATCTACTTATTCCTGATCGTTTTATGTTCACTGGTCTTTTGTGGACCATAAGGAAGTAACAATGGGACTCTGGCTGTCCCTCTTTTTTTTTTGAAGTACATTTGAGAGGAGGGTTGTTGATTATTGATTTTTCTGTTTATGTTTTGTAATGTGTTATTTGTTTTTATGGCAATAATAACACTAGGACATTTCAATAAAAGATTTTTTTAATCTCCGTGAGTTTTTTAATCTACAGTATTATGCAAAAGTTTGGGCATACATGGTCAGTTGACATGCTTTGTTGTTAATTTGCTGGATTTAACATATTGGTAGAAAATGCTACATAAAATATGGCCTGTGCAGAAGTCATAACACATACAATATTTGATGTTTAACTTTTTCCAATATGTTGAACTCAACAGATAAATAGAAATTGTGCATTAAAATTGTCAGAAAAGTGCCACATTTAAGTTTGTTCCCTGTAAAGAATGTGTAACTTATTTTCACTTCAACAAAATCAACAAAATATGTACTTTAACTGTGGGTGTTCAAACTTTTGTATACTACTGTATTTATTTGTTTTATAAGATCAGTAATTTACAGAACGACTTTCTATCATGCAGTATTTGGGTTTGCAGTAAAGTTTGTTTTTTTCTGGGCCAAATCAGTCTGTGTAGTATATAATTAAAACTTTTTAGAATTAAAACATACAAGCACATAAAATATCAAAAAAATCAAATTAAATCTTGACATCAGAATAGAACACCATATAAGAAACTGTATATGTGGCTATGTTCCTACTTACAAGTGACTTTAAAAACACTGTGGATTGGTAAATGTGTGCATGTATGCAAGTTAATATTGGTATATGAAATAATGTAAGTTCCTCAATGGGATTTAAAAATGTGTAGTAATAATAATAATAATAATAATAATAATAACAATCATCATCTTCATCATCATCATCATCATTATTCCTAAATAAATATTTACTTTAACAATAGTAGCACTGTTAATGAAGAGCTTTAACAATTCTAGTGGAATTACTAGAAGTTATTTGTACCTCCCTAAATTTGCTCAGCAAAAATGCTATGATTTAAACTGTTTCTCAATGCTAGTTCTTGACCTCTGCCCTGAACATTTAAGTGCTGTAACATACTTGATTTGTTTAATCAGGGACCTAAACTACAGGGCCAGCACTGAGAACAGCTAAAACAAAAAGTCATAAATTCAGTTTTGTAATGTTTTTTAACATTAACCTTAACTTTGTCATTTCCCTTTTGAGCAGGTGACAATGGTGCAGCTCACCAGGACCCCAGTATCTCCGTCAGTCTGAAAGAGATGACTCTCGTTGACCAGATCAGGCTCACATGTCTAACTTCACCACATCATAATCTGCCGTGTTCTTTCTACGGCTGTCTTACCAAATCAACATGTGAAATTAACATCTCTCAAAGCCAGCAGTGTGTCCTCGACATGAGTGGAGATAAACTGTTAGGATCTGGAGCTCTACAGACGGATGGAATCAGGACAAAGATACACGTATACTGTATTGTGACAAACGGGACTGAAAACAATAACAGCAAGAAAGAAATGATAGTGGTGTGGAGAATAAGTAAGAATATTTAACGTTAATTACACATTTCTTTCAAACATTCTACACTCTTGAAGATGTCAAAAGGGGTTCTTTGGGATGATGTCTGAAGAACCTTTTACTCCTAAAGAACATTTCAGTGGATGGTTCCTTTAAAAAAACTCAAACTCGATTTGTACTATAAAATTCTTAAGGGAATAATTGCTCCAGAGCATTTTATTAGCATAGCATCTTTCTCAAACAAGGTCTTTTAAAGCCTAGTCATGGACTATATTTTCCTTTCCATGGAAAATCATCAAATCCTGTATATCCATGACAACCAGCCCTATACAATCTGTGAATACCCCCGGTTAAATTAACATGCTTTTTTGATTGAAGTGAAAATAACTTAACACATCCTCTACAGAGAACTTAAGTATGGCATTTTTCTTCAGAATTTAATGCACTATTTCTATTTATTTGCTGAGTTTACCATATTGGAAAAAATAAAACACAAAATGTAATGTGCCATAACTTTTGCACAGGCCTCGTTTTATTTTTTTTTCCCCCAAAATGTTAAGTTCAGCAAATAAATAGTTATTGTGCATTAAAATATGCAGAAGTGTGTTCTCTGTAGAGGCTGTGATAATGTATTTTCACTTAGACGATCAACAAAACATGTCATTTGAGTAGTATTATTATTTGTAGTAGTAGTAATCACTTGTGTTTTATAGGTCTACCGATGTCATACGCTGTCTTTGCACTGGGTGTGTTAGGCTCTCTTATCGTCCTCTCTTTGGCCTCTCTCTGCATAACATGCATCATCAGCATATCCACAAAAGGTATGATGCACTCAGTACCACTAGTTTTGGATTGATATAATGGTTAAAACTATTGTTTTTCTGAAGTTATTTAATATAGTCAGTGTATAATCAATATTGTCATATCTTTTGTTTAGGAAGCAGAAAGGCCTATCGTATCAGAAGGTCAGTGGTGTTTCAAGGATGAATTTACTCTAAATATAATATTTCTTATAATTATACTTTTATTTTCCTGTCTCCTCTCATCTGTTTAGTGGCAAAGCTCTGGAAGGCAAAAGAGATAATCATAAGCTAAGTAAGTCTGGATATTGTTTGGTGTTCATGTCTGTACAGTAGCTACCAGCTACATAAGTCATTAACATTCACTTACTTAATTCTTTTTATGTGCTAGATTTCATTATTCTCATTATGTTCAGTACTTTGGTAACAGCATCTGTAATGTTTGTAATCGGTCAAACCTTTGACCTTTGAGCCTAATCATTTTAAGACTACAGGAAATACAAAAATAGAGCCTGATATACTTCACTGCCTATGCTGATAGGTGCCACTGCAGTTCTAAAAGTTACTCAATACTTAAATATAGCTGAGTAAAAAGTGCTCACTAATACACTTGAATATGAGTAAAAGCATTATCATTAAACGTTAACATTAAATGTATCTACTACCCTGTTTATAAGTTACATCAGAACATGGCAGTTATAGTCTCAGTGTGATGACTGTAGTAAAATGAATGGCACTTTATGTAAACATACCTCAAACGCTCAGATTCTATGAAGAAGCAAAGTGCCACTCTATGTTGTTTATGATTGTACAGTAAATTTTTTAGGTACAGCATGTTAATGTATGTTTTTCTTCCCTTTTAAATGTATGTTAGAGGGTTATGATGCAGATTCTGCACCTGAAGAAGATGAGGACGAAAAAGAGGCAAAGGTAACACTGCAAACCTTTCTCTTAAAGAGCCCACATGATCTATTTTTCTTGTATTTGTTTATTTTTCACCTGAGGTCCACTTATAATGTTTGTGAGGTTTCATTTACCAAAAATATAGGTGGCCTAAACTTCTGTAGGTACAAATCTGTAAACGCATTGGATCTCATTACATCAGGAAAACAGTGAATTCAGTTGTTTCAGCTTAGTTTCCATAGATAGACTTTAAGGACTGGGGAGTGAATGGTACATCTTGACTGATTTTATCAGTGTTCACATAGTATATCAAACTCTTCTATTTTAAAACAGTGAGGAAAATTCAGTTTTCCACATTATGGGTTGTTTTAAAAAGCCCAAATCACAGTTTGAATTTTAAAATAAGTCTGTGACTGTTTTCTAAGTTCTAATTGATTGTCTGTTTTACAGGTAGCTGAAGACGAGCTGTGCTACGCCACAGTGATCCACCCTGAAAACTGTGCTCGCTCCATCACGTTCGAGCAAAGGACGGAATACGCCACAGTGGTCATAAATACGCCGGATACTAACAAACAGCAGTCAAAGCAAAATTTAGATGCTGTTGATAACACTGATGATGCTGGTAAAGATGAGGGCTTTGACTCTATATAACTTCAGTGTATGTATTCAAACAGGAAACAGATCTGGAGATTTCTGTCTGGAGATGATGTGTAATTTGTTTAATGAAGGCCTAAACAGAGGAAGTTTGTGGAGTAAATTAATTGTCAGTGATAAAGTAGTGAAATATTGAGGAAAAAGCCATTGTGACATTAAGGAAGATAAAATGATTTGTGCAAAACAGATCTGTATACACTTTATATAAAAAAGAAATTGTGAGCCTTTTCTGCTGTATTACATTTATCTGATCTTTAGTTACATATAACTATCTCTATAATGTTTCTTTTTTTCTATTGAGGCCTGTTATTTCATGTATTACTGACATAATTTGTATCTTAACATGTACATATCTTCAAAGATTGAACAAGAATATTATCTCTGTCTAAACAAAACTGTGTATCTCAAAAATTGTAACTTTACAGGAGAAGGTAAAAGCATTCTTAATTTGTAATGTGAGTTATTGTAATGAGATTTTAAATTAGATTTTTCCAAAAGAAATTTGGAAGCATTTTTATTGGTCTATTCATCATGAAATGTTCACGCAATGTAAAAGGCAGCAACTGTGTGCGAATGATGTAGAAAAATGTTATTGAGATCTTATTGACCTTTAGTAACCTGTCTATTGAACCTGGTTAATACAGGTTTTATTTTCACCTGAAATTCTCTGGAGTTCTTGTGCACAGAGAACATCTTTTCTGACTTATGGTTGATTTTTGCTGTATTTTTTCATTGCTGATCAATCAAGGGGAAAGGAGAAAACTCTCTGTAATCAGTTTTTGATTATTAAAAATACATTTATAAAACTTGAACCATTGGTCTGTATTAATTTCAACATTTTCCTCCTCTTTGGAACTCCAAGGGCTGGTGTAGACACACTCTCCTGAGATCACCAGATCATGTTGTCCAATCAAATTCCAGATGATGTGATCCAAGTCCCATATGCTTTAGAAAAAAGCTGTGGTTTACTGAAATATTGTTTCTTACTGGCCTCTATCTGCACCATAAGCTCAAAAGCCCACTCAGTTTTTCAATAGGAACTCATAAGATTTCAAAGTTCAAGAATGGCCTTTTATAAACATGGTCTGTTTTTTTACAGTAAAATGTACCTAATTCCAAAACAGTTGGGACAGTGTGTGAAATGATAATAGAAACAGAAAGCAATGACTAGTGTGTTTTGTTGGACTAACTGAGGGACATTATTTTTATACTGTATTTTTACATTTAAACTGTTTTTGCTGATGCATTTTTGGCAAGTGGCAAGCCTCATCCCATTCTCACTTAAAAAGGACTAGACTTTACCTGAATGCTCATTTTATACCCAAGATGTCAAAGATTTTTTGAACATTTTACAATGTTTCTTCTCTTAAATTTCCCCTTTTCCCAACTTTTTTGGAACATGTTGCAGGCATCAACTTCAGAATAAGCATATATTTACAAAAAATCTGATATGATAAAACATTACAAATGTTGTCTAAAGACACATTCATGGTGGAGAGGTACATACAGGGCATTGAGAGGCAATTTATTCCCCAAACAAGACTTATTTTTTCAGAGTTAACACTTTAACTGTTATTTAACAAATGTATTTTCGAACAAATGTATCTTGAAATGTATACAATTTAGTTCAGTCTTATTCCATTTTATTGATTGTGATTTATTCCATTTCAGACACTCCAAGTCATTCTTGTACTTAATGTGTCTTTGTTATTGTTTGTTACCTGATCTGTGAGAATGGTTTTGAGGGAGCATCGGTGGATGTGCACAGTTATATATTTAGATTTGTCTTCTGTAGATGAATTAATGCAGTTGAATTGAGAGAACACAGAGGTGACACTGTCATTGTGGCTGAAATGTGGGTTGAGATTTACAGAACTGATAGTTCTAATAAACTCTGACCTAATGTCCATGCAAATAATATGGACCTTGATGTTAAGGAGTGTTTTTGTTGATCTTCTATATAAGTTAATTCAAACATCATTTTGATTGCCTCAGCTTTGAGTTCACCTACAATTCTTTCAGCATTGCTATGTAAAGGAACCATTCTGAGCTGCAAAGAGAACGACTGAGCTTTTTAAACATGCGTTTCGCATTAACTTAAATCAGCCTCTGGACTTGTTTTGAAGTTAATCAAGCGAATAAACTGACTACCTTTTCATCATATCAAGCATTTTTAAAATGTTGACTATTCGTTAATTTCTTCTACTTTGGATTCCTTTTGAAACCCAAGCCAGCAGTTGTATTATGAAACAGCCAGTAGATGGCGTTATTCTGTAATTCCCCAAGTGTCTGTGAGTGTGAATGTGTGAAAGTGTTCTGATTGGTTGCAGGAACAGAGGCTGTGGCTCACACTGATTCCTATTAAAGGAGCAATATATAACCTTGTTGTGGTCTGCTGCTGGTTGTGCTTCTGTCCACAAATGACTTCAGAACAGGAAGAAAAGGAAGAGTGTATAACTATCAACACCAGCTCACTCTCTGCTGTTAGCGCTCTCTTCCTGAAGCATGTAGTATTTCACCTGCTTTGTCACATTTAGTAGCACCTATTGTTGCTGTATGCAGCTGTCCATGAAGAGCAGTGCTCATACAGTCTAATTTAAAAATGTCAGCAGAAGTTCTTTAGACATCAAGGGCCTTATTCACTAAAGTGTCTTAGGAAAGAAAATCTTCTTAAATGTGTTTTTTCTTAACTTCTTTTTAAAGAAAAAAGTTATGAGAAATTTTTATTTTTCAAATAACTTCTAAAGAATTATTTTATTTTCTTTTAACTGTGTTCTTAAAAACAATTCTAAGAACAAGTGGTATAATTGAAAATATTGTGTTCTTAAATGTTTTCTTAACCTTGAGTTGTCAAGGTCAGTGTCTACATTTATCACGGACACTGCCTCTAATACTCTTGCCCATCCTCGTCCATCACCCGACAATTATCATATTTTCCAATGGGAATTCTTTTCCTGTTGGCTGTTTCTTCCACCATCACCTCTAGTTCTTGTTTGCTAAAATTTTTTAAGCGCTTGGTTTGTTGTTTTTACTCCATTTTGCTCCTCTGAGCGAATTAAACTAAATGACAGAAGTAACAACACAAATTTAAAACATATCTTGCATAATTTTTGATACACGGCCAAATGCAACATAGCATACATAAGAAAACAATGAAGAGCTTCTTAATGAAATTGTATTATTATTATCTTAAGAGAATATTTGAGAAGTTTTTTTTCGAGAATTGCATTTAAAAACATTGTTACGAACTTTTCAGTGTTTGTCTTAGGAACCTCTGCAAGTTTTTTTTTTAAAGAAAGCTTTCATGAATTCGGCCCCAGCTTCTGAATATAAGTAGAACAGTAGACTCGACAAACTTGGAATGATTAGATATTTTGAGTTTTGTTGATTACACATGTTGAATATTGAATGTTTTTTTGACAGTTGGAATGCAGCTTTAAAGAGCACATATCACACATGGAGCAACAGCCCCCATTTTAAATATTGTTGTGTTTGTGATGTCATAAAAACTAAAACCCTAACATATATCACTGCTTTTGAAACCAACCCTTGTACTTTCAAAATGCTAACTTTCCAGGAGAAGGAGCAAACACTCTTAATTTATAATTGCTTAAATGATTACGAGGTTAATGTAAAAAGTGATTTTAAACTATTTTTATTAGTCCATCTATTATGAAATTTTCACATGTAAATGGCACCTTTTGTTTTCAAATTATGTTATAAAAAAAACGCAACAAAAATGGAAATATGATGTTTTTGTCCCCACAGCAACAATATGCCAATTCAAACAACAGCTGCTTTCCCCGCCCCTTTCACATTGAAGTTATAAGGAGTGTTACAGCCTGGACTACTTCTGGAATAAGGCACAATACGAGGCAGCCAGAACAGAGCTCCTTTACATATATCTATCTTAAAGGCAAAATAACAAAAGCAGGCTGTATAATTCTAAGGGATAAAGAGAGGTTGGAAAATGGTCATATAAAAGTTATTTACAACTTTTTTTGTATGTTAACCCATCCAGATGTTATTAGTAGACATCAGGGACAAGTTATAGTCTATCGTCCTCTACGAGAGTAAACTTCCAGTTCACCATAGGGTTTTTTTTTAATTGTGGTGGAAATGACTAGTTGACTTTGTGGCATTGAGACGACAAACAGTTCAATGCCATGACAATCATAAATAAACTTAACAGATGTGTTTGAGGTCATGCAGCCCACAGATTACTCTCCGTGGGGAAGGCAATTTGTATTGCGGCTGCTTCTGAGTGCGAAGGTTAGAGACTTGCAATGTGATTAAGTGTCCTTAACCCCTTTTAGAGCATATGTGACTCAACCAAATGTCCTGTAATTAGTGTTCTTGGGGCATTTGTTACATGCATTAAATCATAACATTAGGACTGAAGGAACCTGTGTTAATAGACTCTGTTCTATTGTTTCGTGTCATGTGACGTCATTTTGAACAACTGAAACTGAAACTGTAAATGTGGGTAAATATGAAGAGGGATATCACAAAGCACTGAAAAGTGCACTTTGCCGTTCCTCTCTCTCACTCTCTCTCCCTCTCTCACTGTCTTTCTGTCACTCACTCACTTTCAGTAACACGCTCCTTATCATTCTTTATCATTTTAGGCAGTGACATTGATGTTACTTTGTCTCCTTCTCCACTGTGGGTTTTCAGTAGATCATTCATAAACCAATCCTTTACAGAACATTCTCTTATCAAAATCAAGCTCAAGAAGAACTGTTGTCGCCCAAACAATATACAAGTACACAGTGCAATGTGTCATTATTCCTCCAGATCCTCAGTGCAAAGAACACAGGTTACCTGTGTTTACTGGATCACACAGTACAAGTGAAGAATGCATAAACTATACATAGTGCAACTAAGTAAGACACTGCAGTACAATACCAACTACAACACAGCACAAATGGTCTCAAAGCCCAATATTAAAGCTGAATTATGTACTTTTTGTGGATTTGGAGACCTCTCTGGTGGAAATATGTAATTGTGCTTTGGACCCCTTCCCTTAGTGGATGAAACTGATAATTGCTAGCGTGTTGAGAGAATATATAAAAAGAGCTCAGTCAAAACTTGTGAAGGATGCATCTTGTAAGGATGTCAGTGAATCATTTGCTCATTATATCGTCATCAGTATAATGTTGATTTAAACATCGAGCCAGACCTTGAGCTGTACAAAGAGCTTCACAGAAGCACATGGACACCATGTTTTAGCTTTTTTTTTTTCTTCTGACCCAGTAATGCTACTTCTCTCAAATTTAACAAAAAGTTACATAGTGCCACTTTAAATACAATATAATAGCTACAGAGAACGTGACAGTATAAGACTGAGTAGATTAACTGTGCAAAATACATGTAAACTAACACCAGAAGACCACAGTGCAGTTACGCTATACTGAAGTGCTTATAAACTTCAATTTAATTATGTTCTATGGTACCACCATATTAGATCACATTTAATTTAGCATTAATAGAGGTAATGAAGAATTAATAAAGCTTACTGGATACTGCTGCTCTATGATAAAAGACTGTATGACTAAATTTACATAGCTTGCTTTGATTGCACTGTTTAGTTCTGATCTCTTTTTCTTAAAATGATATCAAACCTTAAGCAGTATTGTAAATGTCAAGCATGCAGAAAGCACATTTACAGAAAGGATATGTACTATTTATTTAGTTTTTAAACAGTTCTTTCAAAACAATATGAGGTATTGAGCAAATGACAGACTGAGTTTAACTGTTAAGTCTTGGCCATCATGAATAAAGTACACAAAATAGAATTAAAAAACAAAACAAAAAAACAAACCGCTTGGCAATTGGGATACTCCCATTACACAGGCATTAACGTAATGTCATGGATATAATCAGGGTTACCAGAATAGAAGTGAACATATTCAGAATACAGAAATTAGGTATTTGTATTCAGTCCATGATACACTTTGAAAGGAAAGTATTCAGAATACTGATGCTTGTAAATTATTTATTATTATTTATTGTTAAATTATTTATTAATATTTCATTTTACTATTTATTATTATTAAATTATTTAGTAGAATACTTTTAATATACTTACTCACTAAATAAAAATAAAATACTTTTAAAATACCTACCCACTAAATCAAAATATACAGCCTCATAAAACACAGTCAATGCTGTTTATGAACGATTTTAAATCTTAATGACCAAAAAATCCCAAAAAACAGTATTTTACAACAGGATTTGTTGTTTGTGCCTTAGCAAGATGCATTCTTAATGTATTCTGCATACTACACTCAAAAAAATAAACCGTTAGGAAAGATGTTGACATTAAACAAATTAATTGTACTGTCTTTAACAAAAGTGAAAGAAAGTACATTTCAGTTAATTTAAACTGTTTGTATTGATCCAATGAGAATTTCATTCCAATGAAACCCAAGTAAACTGTAAATTGCAAATAAGTTGTTTCAGTGTGGTTCCATCAAGAATCAAACTTAATTTTGAGGTAACAAAGTCTAGGTATATTGACTCTACAGTACTTGTTTCAATAGAATGTGTGGCATTGACTGATATGACTTAATATAATATGACTGACTTAATAAAGTTCATACAGCAATTTATTTTTTTGACTGCAGCGATGCATTCATATAGGAATTGTGGGTATCTGATATTTTTTATATACCTATATGTCAATGTCATTACACAAAGATTAATAATAAAAATTGAGACTTGATCTTCCTGGATGAGCATAATGGAGAAATATACCACTTCTCTGTAAAGGGTTTCAAACGCAGTAAAATGAATAAAATGCAGATAGGTTAGCGCAGTAACCCAGCGTCACCTGAACATTCTGCTCTTCCAGAGTGCGATAAATACGTCATCAGATATGAGTTTGAAATATCCGCCAAATCTAAACATCTGTCCGATGCCTATGTTTTAAAGTAAATATCTGCCAATGCCGATAAGATTATGATATCATTATGGATCCCTATTTAATATGTCACTTTTTATTTAGTAATACAATAATGTCTTTATATGCCCAGTGCTGAACATAATGCTCATTATGCATCAAACCAGTCACTAAAATTTCATTAAAACTGAAAAGCAATGTTACTGTGTGACGATATATCACGGTACAGACGATATATTGACCAGCTCTAGTGCAAGTGATAGGTAGACCATTACAAATAGCAGCATAACATTAAATTCTAATGAACAGGTCCTGAGTGGCTTGAGTGGAATGCAAATGAGAATATTATAAACGAGGCAACAGATCCTATATTCAGTCTGAAGTCTTCTCACACGTCATGCTAACGCTTTATGAAAAACCCTACAAAATGGACAGAAAGCCATCTGTCAGGCCTGCGCGTGCACCGGAGAGTTCATGTGCGTTTGTATACAGGTTCTGGAGCTCTGCACAAAAGGAGGAGACAGGAATACCAATAGACGAGTGGAGGGAAGTAACGACTGTGGGGAGAAGAAGGGCAGATGACGAGAGAGAGAGAGAGAAAGGGAGAGAGAGAGGGAGAGAGAGAGAGAGAGAGACGCTGAGACGCTGCAGTATCCTCTCAGTGCTGAGTCCAGTACTGTGTGACTGGTTGTGTGCTGGGAGAGAGCGAGAGAGAGACAGAGAAAGACAGAGAGAGAGAAGGAGAGAGTGGAGGAGGGGGGAGGGGAAGGCTCGTGCGTGGATGAGAGGCAGGCGGCAGCAGCAGTAGCTCTTTTGTGGCGCGCGCTGCTGGGGACTAGCCCGCGAGCAGCAGGGCGCTCTGTCCAGCCAGGCGCGCGCAGCGCCGCCATCTCCAACACACTGGCAGCCGCAGGGACCGGGACAGCGACAGCAGGGACAGGCAGAGGGACAGTGACAGGGTCAGGGAGAGGGACAGGGACGGAAACCGCCTCGGCCAGGCGCGCTCACGCGGACACGGGCGCAGCGGCACCATGGCGCAAGCCGCCAAGCAGGTTCGCAAGAACAGGGACCTAGCGGAGGCTGCGGCCCAGGAGCAGCGCGAGAAGGAGGAGGAGAAGATCAAGAAGAGGAACCGCTCGAGGGACCGCAGGCGCAAGGTAAAAATATAAATCATTAAATAAATAATTAAAGACCCGGGATGCTGCCTTGCCTCCTCCCTCCCGCTCAGCTCCTTCTTCTGCCTGTTCATCAGACACAGCCCCGGTCGCGCGCCTTTTCTCTCTGCGCCTTCATCACTTCACTTCTGCGGGGAAACGAAAGGCGTGAACACGCCGCGTTCACGCGCACATTCACACATACGGCTCGTTGCATTCAGCAGACATGCATAGATTAGTTGTGGTGAAGCATCGCTGAAGCATCAGCCTGAGGATGGAGGGGAAAGGGGGGCGGCGGTTGAGGTGGGGGGGGGTCATGTCTGAGAAGATTGGTTAAGTAACCACTCGGCTCTTAGGAGGACTGTCTTGCACTACAGCTCGCTTTATGGTTTTGCAGCTAATGTCATGCGTGTCTGAATCTGCAGCACATGCAGCATGCCCTGCCCCTCCATTCCGCACACGCTATGTGCTCAGTATGGTTTCCTATGACTTCTGTATTCATTGTAGTTCTGTATGGGTTCTGTATTCAGTATGGCTCTGTGTGGGTTCTGTATTCAGTGTGGTTCTATATGGGTTCTGTATTCAGTATAGTTCTGTGTGGGTCTGTATTCACTATGGTTCTGTGTGGTTTGTGTATTCAGCATGGTTCTCTGTGGGTTCTGTATTCAGTATGGCTCTGTATGGGTTATATATTCAGTATGGTTCTCTGTGGGTTCTATATTAAGTATGATTCTCTGTGGGTTTTATATACAGTATGATTCTCTGTGGGTTTAATATACAGTGTGGTTCTCTGTGGGTTATATATTCAATATGTTTCTCTGTGGGTCTGTATTCAGTATGGATCTCTCTGGGTTCTGTATTCTTTATGGTTTTGTATGGGTCTATACTCAGTATGGTTCTCCATAGGTCATGTATTGAGTATGGTTCTCTGAGGGTTCTGTTTTCAGTATGGTTCTGTATAGTTCTTTATGGGTTCTGTATTCAGTATGGTTCTGTGTGTGTCTGTATTCAGTATGGTTCTTTGTTGGTTCTATATTCAGTATGGTTCTGTGTGGGGTTCAGTATGGTTCTCTAAGTGTTCTGTAATCAGTATGGTTCTGTGTGGTCTATGTATTCAGTATGCTTCTGAATAGGTTATGTATTCAATATGGTTCTCTACAAGCTATGTATTAATTATGGTTCTGTATGGTTATGTTTTTAGTATGGTTCTGTATGGATTCTCTATTCTGTGTGGGCCCATACGGTCTATGTATTCGTTAAGGTTTTGTATGGGTTCTGTATTCAGATTGAGTTTATGTGCTTTAGTTATTATGGTTCCATATGGTTTATGTATTCAGTAAGGTTCTGAATAGTGTATGCGTTCAGTATGGTTCTGTATTATTTCTGTATTCAGTATGGTACTGTGTGGATTCTGTATTCAGTATGAATCTGTATGGTTTATTTATTCACTTCGGTTCTAAATGGTCTATGTAGTCAGTATGGGTTATGTATACGGTATGGTTCTGAATGGGTATATGTATTCAGTATGTATGTATGGGTTCTGTATTGAGTGCGGATCAGAGTGGTGTATGTATTCACTATGGTTTTATATGGTCTATCTATTCAGTATAGATTCTGTACTCAGTATGGGGCTGAATGGATTATGTATTCAGCGTGATTCTGTAAGGCGTATGTATTCAATATGGTAGTGTATTAGTTCTATATTCAGTATGGTTCTGAATGATTTATTTATTCAGTATGGGTCCATATGGTCTGTGTTATCAGTGTGGTTCTGGATGTGTTCAGTGTGGTCTGTGTGTTAACTATGAATCTGAATGGTGTGTATTCACAAAGGTACACATTTGGCATTCACTATACTGTGGTTATATATGGTTCTGTGTTCAGTATGGTTCTGTATGCTTTATGAATTTAGTATACGTCTGTGTGCTTAGTATATTCAGTATGGCACTGTATGGTTTATGTAGCCTATTCACTATGGTTATACATACTTTATGTATTCAGCTGCTGCTGCTCTGCTTATCTGTTAGCAGTCTGCAGCGGGCTCTATTGTTTCCGGCAAGCTTTCTGGATCTTCCCTCTCTCTGTATGAGGCGTATTAGCTGTGTTTCTGTGAGCTGAATGCATACAGCATTGCTATATGCGCTCATGATCAGTGCATCACCAGACGTGCAATGTCTATGCCTGGTGTTATAGGAGTCTCTTTGATGAAGGCTGAGCTAGAGAGGGGTGTATGTGCTGCTACTGCTTTAGATGATCCTCCGGAGACTGGCCTTTTGGGCTGCTGCTGTGCAGTACTAAGCGTGCTGCTGTGCATTAGGCTTTTCCACCAGTGTGTTTACGCTGCATATGCAAATGGCTACGAGGAACAAGAGAGATCGCTTTTCAGACATGTCTACCATGCTGCACTGTTGTAGTGCTTTGCAGACCGATGCATTTGCTTCTGTCTTTTTCTCTGGGTTTTTTGAGGGAAAGCCTGTTTGATGTGTTTTGGGTGCAGTGAGAGCAGGGCAGCCCACCACTACACGTGACTGGAGAAAACAAGACAAGCCCACCGAGACCACTGTGTGTCCTCGAGACTGACAAAATCTGTCAGGCTAGCATTTAACAGTGCCAGCACTCAACTACATGATCAGACAGAGAACCGAGGGTGGGGTGGGAGGGAATGTCAGTACCATAGCAATTAACAGTCATATGCATACAGATGGAGAGTGAGAGATATCTATCTATGCTCCACCCACAAATGTGTTTGTTCATAGCAACTGTTGTGAGGTTGGGCAAGCTCTAGAGAAACACGTTGTTTTGAGCAACTATATTCATAGTTTCCTAAATGCTGTGCTCCTGCACTGAACTACGTTGTTGGAGGTCATTTAAAATAGACCAATTTATTTTTTTAAAACATGCAGGTTCTTGGTACTTTCACGTGGAAAACTCACCTCCAGTCAGTAGCAGAAAAAGCTAATTTTAGGTAGCGTGAATACAGGTCAAACAGACTGAATGAAACTACTGCCGATAATGGTGAAGTCTTCTTGTGTGTGGAGTAACCAAACGTTTCTCAATACATAAAGTTACGTTTTTTTAACTTAAGGCAACCTTGAAGTCAAAATCTGCTGCTCTAGGTGGATTAAACTCATTGTGGGAAAGTGAATATATACCACTGTTAGCTAGAATTTTTTTATTAGGGTTAAAGACTTCCCACACATAGTATATAGCAAAAGTTACAAAACTATTATACCAATCTTATAATAACCAGCATGATTCTGCACATTGCATGCATTAAATTATAATTTTGATACTCCTGAACTGCTTATGTTAATCCAGCAATGCAATACAAAGTGCAGTAAACACACACACAGTCCTGATAGTTATCGACTAGGGAAGAAAAGCTTAAAAATAGTATTTAATGGCCTTCTTCGACCATCGCATGTTTAATCGCTTAGAGGTTCGCTAACATCAACAACAACAACTCTAGTTTGTCAAACTATGAATATCTGAGTGTCCTTTTGTACCAATGCAGTGCTATTAGTGACGTTTCACATTCATAAAAAAAAAATTATTTGAAATTGATTATGTGGCGATGCCACAGCCATCTGTAGCTGGGAGTCCAAGACAGCCTAATTGGCCTCTCTCTCCTTGGGTGGGTACGATGATGCCAAGTGCGAGTGTATGTAAGCTGACGTAGTTAGTGTTCTCCTCTAAATGCATTGAGCTGTCCAGTGACATAAACAAGATGTGGTAGCTAGCTGGTGTAGAATTGGCAGTTGTGTGAAAGTTGTGTGAAAACTGGGAAAAAAAAACAAAATAAATGCCAGAAAAGAATATACCCATGGACAGAGCATGGATTTGAGGCAGGGAAGCCCTCTTGACGGCTGGACACTTACATTTTCAGTGGAATTCTTGTGGAATATGTTTCATGACAATCATATTTTGAGCTGACCTATGGTACTGTCAGTGTGCAGTAAAAACATTAGTGCTCACTCATTTCTATATCAAAATATGGTAAGATCTTTACTTTGAATGGTGTTTCAGTGGTTAACAGCATGTGTGTATTTTAAACCATAATTTTCATGGTTGCTCCTCCATTCCCTTTAAAGAGTTGAATAAATGTATAAAATCCTTTATTCCTGAGGCACAAGACTAGGTCTAGTACAGCTACTGCAGTGATGTAGGTGTTTGTAAGATGTAAGTTGTAAGGTGTGTCTATACTCATATGAACATTACAGTACTTGTTTAGCACTTTGTTATGTATGTAAAAACTGCTGAAATTAATTTCTAAATAATATTTTGTAGCACACACAACGTTGTTTAGAGTCTCTGTTATCTCTGGTCATATATGAACATTAATGACTATCCTTAAAGGAACTATACACCAATTTTGTAATTAAATTGTATGGGATCCATTTCACACTGCCTGGATAATTTCACTTCCTTTAAAGAAAAGCCTATGGCAAAATGACATTTTAGTGCTCTGAAGAGCCTTTTAATCTTGAGCTTAATCCAGATGCCTGAAGTAGTATTTTCAGATAGTAGGAAGGAAATTGGTGGTGTGTAGATGGTGTTGTTGTTCACGGCTAACCTACATTAATTACGGAGTACATTGTAAAACACTGACACTGACACAATGATGGGTTTAGTGATTCTGGGGCTCTAGTCAAAATTCAGAAATGTGGCCCCCTGGACACACATTTTTAAACTAGTTGGGCTCAATATATATAGATTATATATGTTAATTAGTCAATATATTTATTAGAGATTGTTGTAGGAATATTATAAGATTATTTTACTTATTTATAGACATCTTTACATACGTAATTGTATTATGTGAAATTATCTCACTGTGCTGACAGATAATATTACTTGCTTTAAGAAATAATGCCTATGAAGAGCAACATTATCTATCAATATAGTGAAATCATGAAGTACAGAGTAATGTAGAAGTAAAATAATGAGAGTGCCTTTTCCAGAAAGTAATGTAACATAATCCCATTGCATTTCAAGTAAAGTAA